CACGACGAAGTCCAGATTGACTCCATCGAGCTCGGGAAATCTGTCGTGTACATTTAGAGAAGAATACAGTGCTTCGACTTTGGCCATGAGACGATCATGGCCCCTCTGTAGGCTCTCGAGGACATCGAGGGTATCACCGGATGCTGCGTCTTTCTCTAGCGTAGTCCTTGTAGCCTGCAAGGCTCGATCAGAGGCATCCAAATCGGATTGTAGAGCCAGAACAGTGTCAAGTTCTTTTCGGAGGCGAGCAGGAGCATCTGAAGACATCTTTAGCAGAACTACTCGTTGTGCGCACATTGTATGGTTACTCACGAGCGCGAATTGAGGAGTTGTGATTGTCGTGGTCAGCCCACTGAGCCTGTAGGTCCTCCACAGATGTTTCACAACGGTTGATAGCATCGAGTGCCACAGAACCCTGGTCCTTGATGCCCCGTTTCAAACGGCGTTTAATCCAGTCACCGAGGTCATCTTTCATCTCAGATCCTATCGCAGTCGCTTGGCGGTCAATTAACCAAATACGGCGCTGACGCTAAGTGAATTAAGTATTAGTACATATATGTTAGCGTACAATATCATGTAACGTACCGATGATGATCTTTCGACACCTATCAGGCGAATGAATCGCGACCACAACCGCTCAGTCCCCTCGCCGTCAGATAACCCCATGCCAATGCACATCCGTGGATTGTGCACCAGTTGACAGGCCCATTCATGGCCATACGCGTGCATGGCTGTAGTTGCGAAGCGCAGGCGCAATAACACATCCTGAGGGAGAATCTCGAACTGGGTATAATCAGCAAGTGAATGTAATTAAGATCATGTACGTACCTTGAAAGGGACCGTGCAAGAACACAGCCGACGTCGTAGAGAGTCACGACCGGGGCTTGAGGAGGGAGCAATGTGAACAAGTGTTCAATCAGCGCAACAGAGTACTTCTGTTGCTCGCCAGGGGTATCGATGTTAGCAAAAAAAAGAGGAATATCATGACGGCAAATAAGCGCCATTATGCCTGTGTCGTCAAAGCTGTCCATAGCGGCCTTTTGTTTCTTCCCGTCGGCAGCTTCGTATGCATTCTCACATAGGTCGATAGCTTCATCAGGGACAAGGGGCGCGTGTGCCTTTGCTGGTCGCTTACGTTGTGCATTGATTCGGCGCCCGACTGCATCAACAAATTGCTTGGAAAGGAAGTAAGTTGGCTCATAGAAACGAGGACAGTCACCCGCAGAACGCCGGTGACGATGATGGAAATTACCATCCGTAGCGACATGTATGTCCTCCACCTTGTTCAATGGGTCGGCCGAATAGTGTGCCGCCAAAACATGCCGGACAGCGCTGTGCAAGGAGTGGTGCACATCGCCCACGGTGTAAGACAATTGAATCTGAACTTTGAGGTGGTGGTGGTTGGGGTGGTTGGAGGTTGGCCACACGGTCTCGACTTTGTTGGAGAACTGTTGTCGACTTGGCGTTCGATTTCGACCTGTAGGACATCGTACCACTGTACGGCATGGCCCAGACCGCGACGAAAGGGTTCCTGCACAAGTTCACCCTGAAATAGTTTAGTAACATTAATACAAGACAAATAGATCTTACCCGTGCGTCAGTGACTTGAAACCCTCGGCGTGAATAGTGGGTTTTGAGCGCGGATGCCAGAGCGTTGATTGCATCACAAGAACGCTCAAAGAGTGCTCGATAAAACGACAGTAGATCCACTGAGACTGCCATACGAGGTTGTGAAGGTGAAGTAGGGAATAACCCATGATGAAGGAGGACCTGCGCAAGGCTGGAGCATTCGCAGCTCAGTACGTCGATTGATACAAATCCTGTTGACATTGCACTCGTTAGATTAGGCAATAGGAAAAAATGTAAGTACTTGCTATCGAAGAATAAACACAACATATTCGTCCTTTTATGAGCGCATGTGTGAGTCCCGCATGCTGAGATCACATCGTGAGTTTTCTCCAAGGCTTGCCCAAGAGTTCGAGCATAATAACTCAATTGCGGGTCAAACGAGGGTGGGTATAAGCTTCTGCCAGTTGGCGTATAATGTATCTGTCGATTTATCGGGGAGAATGCGCCGCTTGCGTGGACTTGTCTCTATGTCTGTGAGCCTATCAGAAGAGACTTCCTCCGACATTTGGTCTTCAGCGCCTGTGAAATCAAAATTGTGCGTGTTCATGTTGTCTGCTTCACCAGAGGGACCACCCAGTGTGGTACGAGGAGAACACAATGTTTGGGATGATGTAGGATCCATGAGGCGTTGCATTTGAGCAAGTAGATGACGACGCTTGAGTTCCGCGCCAGGCAATGCCACGAGTGTTTGCGTTTTCCTCTTGTCTCTGGCTTTCCTCGGACTTACAAAGTGTTGCCCGAGGCCAGAGCATACGAGTTGAGCTTTACGAGTGTTCCGGGAGTTAGTTAGAGTCATGGAGAGAAGATCTGCATGCGTACGATGCCTACAGAAAAACTTGTACTGAGTACATTAATTTGTATGCGATACATAAATGGACACATACCAAGGATACCTCCAGAGCCTACTAGACGATCCTACCAGACTATTATCCATACCACGCGAGCCTACAAATGAACTGCCAGAGCCTACAAAACAAAGTGCGGGAGGCGCCGTAGGTACGCAGGAAGGGCAGGAGGCAAAATTACATGTAAGCTATTTTTAGATCGGAGGGTAGGTGGGTCTCGCAGATAGGTTTCCCACAACATAATAACCGGGTCTCAAAGACCCTTTATAGGCACCGAAAAGTGTTGCCTGAGGTGAGTCATAGTCGAAGTTGTCACGTCACGTGAGCGTTGACGTTGAGTACTCGAGCAGTGAGAAGTGAGCAGTGAGCACTCCCACAACTTGCAAGTGTCGTTGCTGGCTCTTGAGCTTGAGCTTCCGCAATTCGATGATGACGATATACCACCATCTAATGGGGTCGTGATGAACCCCAGCGGCTCAGTGCAGGCCAAAACGATGCCCAGAAAACAGCATTTATGATGGGAGGAGTCATGGTGTTATCGATGATCGAGGGCTCAGTCTAGGGTTATGTTCAAGCTTACAACAAGACTGCAAAACTGCGTCGTAGGTACTTCAGTCGTATTCTATGCATTCAAGCTATTCCAAGATCTCCATTGCTCGAGCGGCAGTAAGATTTGTTCAGAAGCGAACACGTTGATCGACTCAGCAACAGATTACTAGTAACTCGCGCCTGGCGCCATAAACTACACTGCACCGATGCGAAAGCAGAAACACAACACACCACACTAGCCGCTTATCAGTTGTCGCATATAAATAAGAACTACCACGCTGGTCAGTCATGTGTTTAAATTCAGAACGCAAACTACTCATACTCACACATCCATAGTCAGGAATGCAGTCGATGCAGTTTCTATCATGCTTGCAAAAGAAAGGACAATTCTCACTGCCAGCGTCACTGGCAGATATTGATGTTGTCAAAGCAGCAGCAATGGCGAGGACAAAGGATAAGCGCATTGTTTGTGAGGATGTGATATGGGATCACATAAATCTGAAGGGGACAGGAGGAAGACGGCTTGCTTTTATGTGCTGGATGTTGTTCTTCATGGCGATGCAAGAAAAACCTTCCTAACCTGAAATCCCCTTTCGAACAGATGGTATCTGCAATGCCAGCGTGCCACTGATTAAGATATTGTAAATTCTTAGTTCTTACAAAGGGTCCGACCATCACCCTGGGAAGTCAGGTCTACCGGCAATTTAGCATGGAACAAAATGACACCTTGCGAAACAAGGTCAATGCCAGCTCGAATCCGTTGTCGGGAGCCGACGAGAAGAGTGTATAAAATGCTACGTTGATGAGATCTGACGAGGTTCAGGTGATAATCAACCATTGTATATTGTTTGCTGTTTTCGTCATGATTCACGGTGACTTCTGTGTCGACTTCTGCCAATAGCCTCCGACCTACTGCCAGCAGAAGCATTCTGCCAGCAACACGTTGCTGCCACTTCACCTCGTCATTTCCATTGCACTAAACACGTAGATTCTTGTGATAGGAAGCTCGAGGCTTGAGCGCTTGAGCACGCGCAGCTATAGCCTCCTTGTTTTGTTTGGCAGAAGATTGTTTGTCACTCGTGCGTCATGTACCAAGCAAAACGTAGAAGGTTGACCATCATTGGACCACCACCATCTAGCCTGCCAGGCATTCAAGATTACGAATGTGGGCGTTGATTCTCACTCCAAACGCCTGCTACGAGGTACCAATAGCGACAACTAGACACATATCTGCACGCAGGTAAGGAAGCACTTGAACCTCTGGCCTATCATAATACCCCTCCCCATAGACCAATGCCTTGCAAGAAGCATCGTCCAATACTATCCATCCTCCAACATCGCAACACAAACACAGGATTCCATTTCCTTCTCATGCTCTCACCCAAGAGAGAAACACGCAACTAGGGTTCCGCACGGGTAACACCGCGGGTCGGAAAGCTGACACCGTACCCGTACCCGCCAACACCGTACCTGTCACGGGTACGGGTACACACCGACCCGTCAACACCGCGGTTAGATGAAAAACACCGCGGGTACATTACCAAGAAGAGTGTATTAACAACAACTGAATAGATATTACTACTTTTCCTCGTTGTCCTCCTTAGCTTCGACTTCATTTCGCTTCTGTTTTCGACTCTTTACAGAGGCTAGAAGGTCCTCCATCGCCAGAAGATCACTTCTGCCCCAGGCTCCGAGGCAGAGAAAAGCAGGAATTGTTGATGGTGCGAGTCGGTTGCGAGTAAAATGAAGGAGCTGCCGGCCCTGCAAGAAGACACGTTCAACCGCAGTTGATGTTACTGAGCGAGATAATAAGCACTGATTGATTGAAAAAGGATTTGAGGGTGGCATACCTGGGACGGAGAGATAGTCTAATGCCATCCACATCATCATCGGCTTCAGATGCTGACAATGACTCGGAGTTGAATGGCTTCAGCAAAGCTTTTGCAGCAAGCTGGAGAGTATGGTTAAAACATCGAACACAGTTGACAGACTCAAATGAGTTATCGAGGCTCGCGAGCTTTGTTGTTTGAGAATCATTTGCGGTCGCATTATCAGCATTAACTGCAAGAATCTATGATCTTCAAGTTAGCGTGATTTCTGCAATATTCAGAATCAGCTTGCTCTCTTTGTTAGCCCAAAGCATTCAAGCATTGCTTGAAAGAATTTTGCCATTGCAGCACCAGTATGTGACTAAGATATATCATGTAAAGATTGGTGGAGCATTTGATATGGCCTGGTGGCGAAGTGTAAGTGTGAGATCAACAGTGTCTGTGGGTTTCGATCGAGCAGACCGAGACACAAATGACTGTTTGACCTTCTTCAAGGGGCAGGCCAGAGCCTTAGCACCCTTTGCGACAGCCTTTTTGAGTGACTTGGCCTTCTCAGAGATGGACGACGAGATAGACTTAGACAATGAGTGGGTAGACGAGGCATCATATGCCTTCTTTGCGAGCTTGGTTTTCATGGAGACGATTTGGTAGACTTACTGGTCTCAAGTTTTTGCCTTGGCTTTATGGTAGTGACTCGAGCTTCTCTGTAGCAAAGTGTCAGCTTGATAAATTGCTAGATTAATGATTCACAGGGGCACGAAAGACATGACAGAAATCAGTATAGCATTGGGTTGTGATCCTCAAGCACTCAGAGTAAGCCGACACAGAGAATTATAGTACGGTGTTCAGTGGCTGTCAAGGTTCCCGATTTGGTAAGTCATACCCGTTAAACACCACCAACCCGCGGTAAAGGGTCGCGGTATGGTCACGGGTATGAATATCCAACACCGTACCCTGTTGGACTCTGGACGTTCGGACGACGGACCGGGTGGAAGCCTAGCGATGTCAGAGTGAGACATGACGAGCGCAACCAGTCCATACAGCGAGACGACGCATTGACGTCGGCCGAGGCTGTCGAAATTAGTTTCTTTTATCTCTATGCCATTCGTCATTTACCGTTACTATACTGACTTCGTATAAAGTGTCGAGTTCATCGTACGGGCATCTCAGTTTCTTCTAGACACTGAGATGTAAGCCGTTTATGTTTTTCTTATTACTATACAGATCGCTAACGAAACGTAGATACATTGTTTTCTCAGGTACTTTACATTGTGCTACGCGAGTTTCTTCTAGACACTGAGATATACATTGTTTTCTCAGCTCTTACTCCGCTCCCGCTCGACTGTGATCACCACAGGTTATGAGCCCTGTCACGGCTATGGAACCCGCACTGCCCAGTACCAATTCAACGTTGTTCAGCGTCCCGAAGCTAGCCGAAGATGGTAGCAACTGGATCACCTACAAGGAACGAATGCTGACCGCCATTGGTGCGAGAGGATTGATGCGTTATGTTGACGGCCGAGCAGCGAAGCCTGCCCCGTTCAAAATCGATCCCGATACGAGCAAGCTGTTGAAACCAGACGGTTCAACACCTACAGAAGCGGATATAGAAGAGTTAGATAAAAGGAACGATGAGTACTTTCAAAAGGACTCACTCGTAAGGCAGCAGATGTTCAGTACGATCACGGATCGACTCCTTCTGCGCGTACAGAAGCTCGAGGGCGCCGCAAAGATCTGGGAGGAGATCTGTGATATCCACGAAGGCAAAACCGAACTAGTCCAAATTGACCTTCGTCGATGTCTGCAGGATATGAGATGTGAGGAGAGCGGAGACGTGAAGACTCACTTTAGCGAGCTCCTCCGATTACAGCGAGTCCCTTGCTAGCATGGGTGCTGACATCGAAGATCGCGACTTCTACGCCATAGTACTTGGCTCCCTTCCCGAATCATATCGTCCCTTGCTATCGTCGATCAACGCAGCTGGCTAAAATTGCCCAGAAGCCCCTTACCCCCTACGAACTTATCAGCGTCGTCAGTGAGGAGTATGAGCACAGATTACTTACAGATCGTCGCCCTACGAAAAAGGGCACCAACTCCGCGCTATCTGCTAAGGCTGGCCAGAATAAGCCCTGAGGATCGGGCAATTCCACCCAAACCGACCCCGACATTACCTGCTTTAACTGTGACCGTAAAGGTCACTATAAAACTGGACTGTTGGAGGCCAGGAGGCGGGAAAGAAGGTCAAGGGCCTAACCAAAAGAAGAAAGGGAATCGCTCACCAAAGCAAGCCGCTAACGCCGCAGTGCAGAACGAAACACCAGATGAGTACGCCTTTGTGACGTCAGACTTAGCAGCTGTAGCAAAGCAGCTCGACATACCACTAGACCGTCGAGGCGCCATCATGGATTCCGGCGCGACTTCCCATTTCTGCCCCGACCGTTCAAAATTCACCAACTTCGTGCCGATTGCCCCGCAGGACGTTCACACTGCGGATGGATCTGCCATTAGTGCTATAGGAAGGGGTGATGTGAGGATAGACTTGCCTTTAGGTGATAAGCGCACATCGGTAACGCTGAAAAGCGCACTCTATGCGCCAAGGATGGCCTTTACACTCATTTCCACGAATCGGATAACCGCTGCGGGCTTAGCCATTCATTTTGAAGGGAAAATGTGCAGGATACTCTCACCTGGGCCCAAGCGCAAGGTCATAGCGAGATACCGCAGGTGGAGGGTCTCTATAGCGTTGTCGGTCGTCAGACGGAGCGAGCAAACACTGCAAAAGGGAAGCTTACTGTTTGCGAGTTGCATCGCGTTCTCGGCCATATCTCCCAGACTGCAGTTAAGCAGATGGTCGAGAAGGGTCTGGTTGAAGGAGTGGAGTTGTATCTGTCATCGACGCCCGAATTTTGCGATGCGTGTACCAAGTCTAAAGCCACCCGTCAGCCATTTCCCGAAGAGTCGAAGAATCGAGCGCTTACCTATGCCGAAATCGTCCACACGGACTTGTGGGGTCCAGCGCAGACCGCGAGCCTAGGCGGCTGTTCCTATTATATCAGTTTCACGGACGACTTCTCCCGAGAGATGAAGGTCCAGTTCCTGAAGCTCAAGAGCGAAGCACTTACCGCGTTCAAGCAATATGAGGCGAACCTCGCACGTCAGCACCCTAACGCCCGCATCACTAAGCTCCGGTCGGATCGAGGCGGCGAGTACCTTAGCGCTGAGTTTAATAAGTACCTGCAGGACCAAGGAATAGAATGCCAGCTTACCGTGCATGACTCTCCACAGCAGAACGGTGTCGCCGAACGACTCAACCGTACCCTTGTCGAGCACGCCTGAGCCATGCTGCTTGCGAAGGATCTCCCGAAGTACCTGTGGGCCGAGGCAATTAACTACGCTACTTGGTTGAAGAATCACATACCTTCTAGGGCGATCCTGGGGAAGACACCATATGAACTGGTGCATGGCAAGAAGCCAAACCTTAGTGATGCGCATGAATTCGGCGCCACCATATATGTTCACGTGCAGGACGTGGGGAAACTCGAGGCTAGAGCGGAAGAGGCTGTATTTGTGGGTGTAGATGCAGAGAGCAAGGGCTATAGAGTGTACTGGCCGTTGAAACGCCGTATTTCCGTGGAGCGCAATGTGACGTTTGCGCCCACTGGCAGTCGTGGTAGGCGAGGATACCCTGAACGAGGGGGAGTCCAAACCGATTAGCGCTAACACAAACAGTGGAGATGCACCCGTTCAGGCCACCTCTCCTCCCCAACCTCCCGCCACTCCCATCAGACCATCCCTTCGACCCCAAACGCCACCTGCACCAAGATCTACCCGCGTTCGTCCACCCCCAGGCTACTATGCAGCCCTCAATGAGGGCCAGACCGCACTAGCAGCTGAGTCCATATTTGAACCTACAGAGTCAGACTTTGCGGATGAAGAGGCGATTACTCACTGGCAACAGTTTGCTCTTGTGGCAGCTGATGGGGAACCTACCTTAAGCCAGGCCTTAAATGGCTCAAACGCAGTGGAGTGGCAAGAGGCGATAGATTATGAGATTAGTCAGCTTGAGAAGCTGGGAACGTGGGAAGTCGTCGACACACCTTCAAATGCTAACATAATCCCCTGCTATTTCGTCCTAGCCACGAAGCGCGGGCCAGACGGCCAGAAACTCAAACTCCGCGCCAGACTGGTTGCAAACGGACAGCGTCAGCAATACAGCCAAGACTACTTTCACACATTTGCGCCTACCTCTAACATGGCCACCATTAGGACAGTGCTCGCCATGGCCGCCCAGCAGGACTGGGAAATCCACCAGGTGGATATCAAGAGCGCCTACCTCTATGCGGAGATCAAGGAGACTATCTACATGAGGGCGCCGCCTGGGTATTTGAAGAAAGGAGAAGGGGGAAAGGTGTTGAGACTGTTGAGGAGCTTGCCCGGATTGAAGCAAGCGGGTTTCGAGTGGTCGGAAGAATTGGCTGGGGCGTTTAGGAAGATGGGGTTTTCGCGTTCGCAAGTGGACCAGTCAGTTTACTTCAAGCGTTCAGAAGAAGAACACACCGTCATCACCGTATCGGTCGACGATATGGCCGTTACCTCGAGGCATCTCCACCACATCCAGAAGTTCAAGGACTGAACTCACCCAGTACTTCGAAATCTCGGACCTCGGGGAGCTCAACTGGCTCCTCGGACTCAAAGTCGAGCGTAATTGTGTCGAACGTACCATCACTCTCTCCCAGAAGGCTTACATTAACACCATTCTAGAGCGTTTCTATCTCACCGAAGGCAAGAGCACCCAAACACCGATGGAGCCAGGCGCAGACCTCTCAGATGCGCAGTCGCCCGCGATGCATGCCCAGCATGAGGCAATGCGGGACATGCCCTACCAGAGAGGGATTGGATCGTTAATGTACGCCGCAACCAGCACCCGTCCTGATATCGCCTTCTCCGTCGCAACACTATCGCAATTCATGCGCAACCCCGGAAGTGCCCATTGGGAGGCAACCAAGCGTGTACTTCGTTGCCTCAAGGGAACTGCTAACTACGGAATAACGCTAGGCGGCTCCGACGCTGGCCTAGAGGCCTACGTAGACGCAGACTGGGCCTCACAGGCTCATCGCCACTCCATGTCTGGGTACCTCGTCCTACTCAATGGCGGGCCCGTAGCTTGGAGCGCACGTAAGCAGCCCATAATAGCGTTATCGACAGCTGAGGCCGAATACATCGCCCTGACTACTGTCGGGCGCGAGATCTTATACCTCCAGTTGCTCCTTGAAGAGTTATACGAACCTCCCACTCTCCCTATACCGATCTACTGCGATAATCAGGCAGCCATTGCACTCGCATCGAACAACAAGTTCCAATCCCGTACTAAGCACATCGACCTTTGCTACCACTTCAGTCAGATTGCATGTCAAAAACGGGACCTTCAGCCTCACCTATTGCCCTACCAAGGATAACATCGCCGACACCTTCACGAAGGCTCTCCCACGCCCACGCCTTCAAAGGTTGAGAACTTTGATGAGCCTGGATTGCGCTCGAGGGGGAGTGTTGGACTCTGGACGTTCGGACGACGGACTGGGTGGAAGGCTAGCGACGTCAGAGTGAGACATGACGAGCGCAACCAGTCCATACAGCGAGACGACACATTGACGTCGGCCGAAGCTGTTGAAATTAGTTTCTTTTATCTCTATGCCATTCATCATTTACCGCTACTATACTGACTTCATATAAAGTGTCGAGTTCATCGTACGGGCATCTCAGTTTCTTCTAGACACTGAGATGTAAGCCGTTTATGTTTTTCCTATTACTATACAGATCGCTAACGAAACGTAGATACATTGTTTTCTCAGGTACTTTACATTGTGCTACGCGAGTTTCTTCTAGACACTGAGATATACATTGTTTTCTCAGCTCTTACTCCGCTCCCACTCAACTGTGATCACCACAGAATATGCCTAAGAGGATTTCAGAGATGAATAGAGCCCGATGCATCAGCTGCAGTCTTCCCAGAATATTGTAAGTGTGTGGTGGTGTAAAGCTGGTACATCAGTAAAAAACCCAAAATGCCGTAGCCCTGGTGACAGCTATATAGCACTATGTAGGCACAGTAGCGCTATGTAGGCACACCTTACGCTACATTGACGTATATAGTGCTATATAGCAGTAAAGCCACGCTACATGCAGCTACAGGAGTTACGAAGGCAAACATCGTGCTACAGGTAGCTACAGGAACTACCACAGGCGCTACAGGCAGCTACAGGTGCACTCGTAGTATGTACGTGACATGTCAGTTGTATCTAATTAATTATAACACATGCGCAAAACATTTCGCCATCAATGAACTCGTTGAAATAAAAATCGTTTGCCACCTCGTATGCATTTCCGCTTCTCAACCTCAGATCTACTGTTTGTCCCATCTTCGGTATTAGATGGCACGGCCGCACGATTTCGTCAACGTGGATTACAGTGGCATTGCGGCAAAGTTGTCGTGTTGAGCGCGAGACCTGTCGCATTCGAGAAACAGGGTCTGGTGGTTTGAAAGGAGTGAACCACTCGACGTAGGCGAGGGCTCTGGAATATGCGCCGAACTGGCGAGGTAGGGTGAAAATAGCGCGAACTTGGGCTACATGTACACCTGCAACAAGACGATTATCAAAATTGACCGCTGAGAAACCCGGAAAAAAAATACCTTCAAGAGTATGGAAGTTAGAAGAGCGAGGCCTGTCTGCTATCAAGGCCATGTCAAACCGGGCTGGGATACCAGGCTTCTGGCCTGACGGCAACGTTTCTGGTGTTGCCCTGATCCGCCTTCGCTGTGGCACGTCGCTAACTCGTAAATCAGGTGGCGTCACGATCACCACTTGATGATAAAGATCGAATCGGTCTTGAAGTCCAGGGACTATGGTGTTGTGTGGGAGATTCTTGAGCAAGAAGGATCGGAGAGCAGGGAGGAACTCGGTAGCACCGTGTGCTGTTATGATGGTTCCAACGGATTGGTGAGGATGTGTGGGGGCTTTCGCAAGGACATGTGTTGCTTGAAGTGGTTCAGCGGCGGGAAGATTTGGTGTTTCCGACTCCGAGTCCGTGTCCGAATCTGCGTCGAAGTTGTATGGGTTTGAATGACATCCAGTGAGACCCGCAGGTGACTTAGAGCGAGGCTGTTGGGACAACCAATCCAGGTATGCGCTACGTAAAAATACGGCTTCTTGGCGTTGGAGCCACAAAGCCATTTGTTCTTCGTAGTCCCGTTTGTTGCTAGCACGGTATGAATCTTTTGCGAAATCAATGTGTAAGCGCTCTGGAAGTTCAGTATTAAAGCCGTCAGCTGCGCCAAACAACGTGATCGACTGGACGTAATGAGAGAGCTGGTGTAGTTTCGGAATGTTGAAATGCTCTCGAACAGCGAGCTCCTTGAGGATGTCTTTGTTAGTGTGAAATACAGTCAGGGCGGTTTGTAGGGCTTCGAGGGACTCAGTCATCTGAACTTGAAGCTGGGCAAAATACGAGAAGTCGAGAATAGATCGTGCAACTACCAAAACATGACTGCAAGGCATGACATCAAAACATCATCTTAACAACTCGTTAAACACTCACCTAGGTACTGCTCCGCTCAATAAGCCAACAAATACTTGCTGCATCTCTTTGTGTTCATGTCCCGTCCACTGCTTCACACTCGATATCCCTTTCTTGAAGTGTCGAAGGCCGGGATAATTCGGGATTGCCTTGAAACGTGAGTCCATTTCGTCCTCCCCAATGATATCGATGCGCCACTTCACAAGGTGGTCTTTGAACACACCCTTGTGAAGTTGATGCAAAAGGTCGGGCGTGAACGCTAGAAAAATGCCCGCGTGAGGGAGATCAGCCCAAAATGGTTTGTAAACGGCACATAAACCATTGGCCTCGAATTCCGGAGGATGCTGACCAATCTTGCGCCTGTGCAAAATATCTTTTGTTGACTCTGGATCACGCATTGCCGAGTTGAGTGCATCCCCTCGCTCATTTGCTGCTACAAGGCACTTCGGACATCGGTTCTCTTTGCAACAACTGACCAAGCACTGTTCCGGGAAATCGGCAACGTATGCTGCAAGAATTGGGTAGACACGACGAACCCACGAGTCCGCACACACCATTTCAACACCGTCGTTTCCAGCACCGATGAGAGGTTCAAGCAGTAGAGCCATGCAATGGTGGAACAGCCTGTATCCAGCCAAGGAGCGTGCATTGGGGGTGAAACAGTCCAGTTTGCCTGCTGGTAAGTAACCAATCAGGACTGTCGCTCGTGCTGATGCTTGGCGCCGTTTTGCTTTAGCGATGTTTCCAATGGACATATACACCGGCCACGCCGATTTATCCCCTCGGAACTGCAACAAGGACATTTTGTCTGAAGATAGAATGATTGGTGCTATTGTGGCACCTTCTGGCAAGGCTTTCTGTGTGCGAGGTCAGTCCGTTACTTTGTTGCTCCCTCTCAAATAGTCTTACCTGTTTATCGCCCCACCAGTCTGCTGTCCACATCTCGTCGATCACCCTATCTTGCCCTGCACGGTCTGCATATGCTTTGGCAGGTGAGTAGGCCATATCTTCTTTGAAGGAAGGGTTGCCAATGAGCTCTTTCACGCACTCTACAGGATCGCGGCACCACAACTCAACCTCCTCTTGCAACATCTCGCCGTTCTCATCCTTGCAGTTACCACGCACAGTCACCTTCTTACAACTCCATCCTGGCCCGTGTGGAAGTTCGTCCACGCGCTGCAAGAATGAGCGGTTGTTATGAAACGAAAGTTTTGTGCGGTTTTGTGTCTGGTTAGGGTATCAATATTGTAAGTTCAAATTTTGATTAACACTTTCAAACTTACAATGGGCAGTTTTAGGAATTTGTCGGTTCGCATCTGACCGAGGTTCTTGACGAGCCACTGGGCCAGATCCCATTCTTCCCTGGTGAGTGATATTAGTAGATGCTATGCCAGCGCATTTGAGCACTTACGCATCCTCGGAAAGGTGACCATGGATCCTCACCCTCTTCCTCTTGGTACGTTCTATATCTTTCAAAATTTGTCTCCCCCTCACGCAGTGCCCAGCCAGCATCCGACTGAGGTTCAAAATATCGCCCGTTATTGGGGAACAACATCCCATCCTCATCCTCGACTTCCTCAACTGTAGTCTGTCGAGTTTTGCGGAGCAGCTGGGTTATTGTCAGGTATCTAGGAGACGGGCGTGGGTGTACATGACCCGCCGGTGCTGCATCTTGATGGGGGAAGTCAACATCTGGTGCATCAGTCTAAGTTCTCTGCCTCTACATCTTTGATCATTGATGCCCACTGCCTGTCGACATTCAGGACGTCCTGCAACGTGTCTCTTGAGACCCTTGTGTGTAGTTGTTACCTTCCCACAGAATACACAGTGGGGCATGGCTTGTCTGGTGCGAGTGTCAAGTTCGTATTGTACCGGCCCTAAGTGTCTTGACGGCACACAAAATGGAAAAAAACACTTGACCCTCAAGTGAGTCCTCATACCAGCCCTAATTGTGACTATTGCAGCAATCTGACCCTTGCAAGTGAGTCCGATTCAGCCCCAACCGAGTCCAATTCTGCCCTCGTGACTAACTACTGTCACGGACGCAGTTCATACTCGAACGCCACCATTCCTTATGCCACATAATATGGAGTTTGACCCAAACATCCAGGAAAAAGGCGATCCACATGAGAGGTTTTGCCGTTCGCAGCATGAAAAAGGCGATCCACATGGGTGGTTTTGCCATTCGCAGCATGAAAAAGGCGATCCACATGGTGCGCCGTTATTCCGAATGACACTTGACTAAAACTAACTGACTACTAAGACTACTAAGCTAGGGTAGTAATGCCATGAGCTGCCAGTAAGAGCTCCAAAAGTTGAACCTTGCGTGACTCTTCACACTGCTTTTTCTCGGCATTCCAACGCACATTTATCATCTCCCGCACCAAATTTTGGTGAGCAACCGGACCTTTCATGTGCTCTGAGAGCTGCGCTTTGCATGTCTCTTCGCAAAGCCTAATCTCTGCATCCCAGCGCTCTAATACAAGTGTTCGCAGGTAGGTCTGCGATGTTTTAATGGGCCCTGGGGTTTGGCGATATGGCGCCAATGGAAACTGAATCTCAAGAGCAGGCGGTACCTCCCTTGGAGTATGAGGTACCTCCCATCCCGGAGCACGGACAACGTGAAAGGGTCGACTTGGAGGAGGTAACAGGATGTTCAGCTTTCACATCGTCTGATTCGTTCGATGGCATGAGCGCTGGGCTACAACATCGGTAAGTGTGAGGCGAGCATTCGACAAGCCAGCCACTTACTATTTATTCATCTTGGCTGTAGTATCGATCTCGCTGTAGTATTGAATTGTATGTTGGAAAGGAAAGTCATCCCTGTCCCTCTTATTTATGCCATTATATTGACACCGCTTCGTCAGTTGAAAACTTTAACTTCGTGATCAACAAAACTCGATCAACAAAACTCAAAATTTGTTTGTTGATCCGACACCACTGTAGGGTTTTTAAAGGCATGCATACCCCCTCCTTCTGTTGTCGTTATTTCTACTGACTACTGTCTATCATGGCCGCAAAAGCCCCCTCCAAAAAGGGAACTAAAACGGCACTTTTGAAGGCCCAGGAGGAAGTATGTGCAGAGATGGTGTCGACCGCGGGATGCACTGCAAGTGGTCGTCAATGTCGGCCAACCGAGAAAGAGACATATCAAAGTAAGTTATATCAAGCCTGACATGAATGCTTGCGCTCATTAAAATGTTTCTGCTTAACAGTTACAAAAGCTCGTCGAGGAGCAGACCGCCAAAAAGCCTTACAAACAAAGATGCAGAAGCACGACTTAAAGGCACTGCGCACTACATACCAGACACATCCCAAGGAATTTGATAGCGAGCCTGCTGGGCTTCTTAGCGATGTTGACAGGGACGAAGACAGCATGGTCAGTGTCTTATTTGTCCATGTGCTCCATGTTACTCACAAGTACATAATAGTTTTCGGACCGCTGTGTACCTACAAGACTATCCAATCAACAGGCACTCACATTCAGTATGAGCAAGACCCCTCCAACTGTCTTGGCCCGAAAACCCATGAGTAAGATCCGTACGAAGCCACAGAAAGGTACAATGTCTCTGCCAGTGTGTATCTTGGACTAACACACTTTTTCAGCGCCCTCACCTGTTGTGACTTCGGATGACAACAGTGACGGTGAGGGCAGCAGCGACAGCCATGATTCGAATAAGTTTGTTGATCGCATGGACGAGACTGAGAACGGGTCTGATTATGGCGCGGACAACACTGCCGATGATCATGATGAAGTGGCCAAAGCTTCTTCAACACCGGTTGTCGGCACCAAGCACCAACCGGAGGACTCAGAGGTCCTCAATACTGACCCAAAGTTCAAGAAAGGTCCAAATGGAACACGCCAACGGTTAAAGGCTAGCGATTTCGACGACATCACTAAGGATTTGCTCACTACTGCCACGTCTATCTACCGCTGTCTAGTTGTGACTCGCACACCTTTTCCAGAGACACTGATCGTTGAGACGAAGTTAGCAAAGGATGCCTGGCGTGAGGCGTCTAACATGGCAGAGCTTACCATCCAACTTACCCCTTCTCTCGTCAAAATGGTACGTCTCATGTCCACGTCCTTGCCCTACTTGATTTAATGTTGCCATATAGATGACGAGGCGCACATCACATGTGCGCGGGGAGCTTAAAACAAAGATGCGCGTACTGACGGCCTCGTTCTTTGGGTTCCGTGCAAGCAGATCTATACTCGCCATCAAGGCAAACCGTGACCTGGCCGAGTCTCTCAAGGAAGGATCATGTTTTGTTTTCAAGGTGCGTGTTTAAATTCAATTTCACGATTTTTAGTCAACATCTGACTGGCGGAGTAAAAGGACTGGGAAATGAAACGTGGCATATACAAGACCGAATTAATCCAGTCGGCGGTCAACGATATGTGGTTTACAAACCGAAGCGACGAGGGTATAGTATATGCTAAATACTTTGATCCTTTACCCGTTCAAACCATTGCACTTATACTCACAGCAGTGAGTGTATCCAATGATTCTGATGTTCATACTGCAACTGAGGTCTGACAGATTGAATGCTGCATCGACGAGTGGATGACTGGTGTAAAGGAGGACATCAAATTTTCGTCGGTGGCTTACTCCCCGGTCTACCTTATCCATCTCAAATCCCTGCGGCGGTTCGAGGAGCGGACTGCTGCTTACAAACTGCTCGGTAAAATTGGTGTCGATCTTCTCGACATCGCTCGGTATGTTTCTGATTACTTATGTCGTTCATCATCCAAACTGACTTTCATAAAAAGGATGCACGCTGGTGTGGATCCACTTATGGCAGCAGTGACTATTGATAGCTTTACCGATGATGTTTTCGATGATGCGATTCGAGAGTACGAAGACGAGGCTCGAGAAGCACAAGAAGGGGGTGGTGACTCGGATTGAGGCGGCTTTCGAGAGTACGAAGACGAGGCTCGAGAAGCACAAAGGGGGTGGTGATTGAGGCGGCTGTATCTCGAGGATTGTATGCATGCTCACGCACTATAGCACCTTAATTGATTCGATTTTGTTGATAACCGGTTAGCGGCGCGATTGGTATTGCGGGAGCTACAGTACTAGTAGCAGTGTGTAGCTACCTGTAGCTCGAACGAGCAAATGCTAGCACTATTTCTATTGCACCCTGTAGCAACTTGTAGTAACTTGTAGCACCTGTAGCACCTGTAGTCAGTTGCTACAACGAGCTACAGGAGTTGCCGTAGCACTATATAGTCAGCTGTGTGGCTATATAGCCGCCTATAGTAGGCACTTGACACATTGTGCTACAGGTACTACCTTGACTATATAGCACCCTGTAGTCAAGTGTATTTTTCCTGATGTAACGAGTACACAGCGAGAATACAAGTTCGACAGGGGGTCAATTTCCTACTTGTACGAAAAGTACAGACGTGCTTTTATATGTAAAGAAGGACTAAGCAAGGTTTGGGAGTGGCTCGTCAAAGCGGTACCATAAAGGGGAGTCCACCGTCAGAGGACTAGTGGCCGCGCACAGAGTGTCGCTCCCTAAACGTTGCTTGTCTACCGCATTTACTAAGCACGAAGCGCCGCCGGCGCTTCGCGTAGTGCTAGTAAAGCAGAGTGTGCGTGGGTGGCGCGAGTCAGAGACCAATAAGTAACTGAACTGGTAGTAAAAGGTGGCGCTCTTCATGTTAACGTTCACTCTCGCTGTACTACTACGATTGTAATATCGATTATCTGTCAGGCTTAACATTCTGCTCTACCAAGCAATATACACACCCCTGAATCTGAATCGTGTAAGTGATGTAATTCAATGCTGGTGAACCATATGGTGCAACTCACTCGTCGGCGGTGAATCGTGATCAGCCATTATGACGAGAAGTGGTGCTCCACACTGTCACTTCCATTGAAAAAGGAGTTACTACAAACTTCCCTTGATTTCGCTTGCCTTGCGAGGAATGTTTGTCGATGGGGCGGCCGACACAAGAGTCTTCCGATAGAGATCATCAATTTCTCGACAGCGACGCCTGACACTTCCATCGAAAAGAAGTTACGATACATTTCTCAATTTCCGCGTACGAGGAGGTACCGCACAACAGGAGTCTTTTTATCGAACTGGGTGAATGTGTAACCATTTTTTCCTGCCAGAATGGTCCAGTGATAAATCGACTGACTTCCGCCGATAGTCGCTCTACCATAATCGACAAACATTCCTCGCAAGCAAATTATAGGGACTACGGTCTCAGGCTTTTGTGGGAGTGTCAGACCGATGCCGATGGTCAACATCGACAGAACCCCCTTGCAAGCAAATTCGTGGTATGAGTAATGATGCGCTGCGCTGCATCTTCCGCTATTGTGGTGAAGCTTGACGGTGGGGTGGACTTACTGTAGCAAAGCTGCGGGAGTCTTACTCTAAGCTACATAGGTAATATGTATGTGTGTACTTGCCCTCGGCGTTCAACTTAGGTGATAACTAGGGCAGTGCGAGATATGCTCGCCGGCAACCAGTCGTCCATAATCTACCGTGTGATGGAAGCGAACATTGATTGGGCGTACAAGGCAGATAGACCCCGAGGGGATATTGGGGAACGTACATCTACGAAAAGGAAAGACATTAATTGCCAAATACTTCTATATGTCAGGGTGAACGTGGGATGGTAATTCCTGCAGGTGGATCCCAGACACCGAATTCCTTCTTCATTTCGTCGAGATCCTGTGCCCACCTCTCTTCCCAGTATACTGCGAGCAAGCACCTCGCATGACTCCCGCATCTCACCGCCCAAGGGACAAATTCTGACCAAAGCCGAGCCCGTTGACTTGACTTAAGTCTTATTGAGGCTCCTAGGGACAATGCAGTCATGGGGAAGCCTAAATTTGTAAACTCGAAGGCTTTGAGCGCAAGTTCGGGAAGCGCGTAGACTTTGAATCCAAAGAGGGCATGATAGAGGTCGTGCGTCTCGCGATATCGTTGCATGACGTATGCCAGCTCTGGGTCATTGATATAGCGTACCTGGGTCCGAAATGATGAGTATCTGGTGTGGATAACCTTGAATAAAAATATCGCACGGGCTCTCGAGAGTCAGGTGTGATCTTGCAAGTGTCAAGCCACCCCACATAAGCCCGACCAAAGGTGTTCTCCGGAAGGGAACGCAGTTTCTCTAAGTCCAAGGTTTGTGAGTTGATACGTGGCCTTTCTTTGAGAATCCGTCGACCCTCTGGAGACTCCAACATTATGTCCCGCAGTTTGATCAAAATTGGTCCGCCAGTGGTTTCTCCACAGGCTGCAACCATATCTAACGAACTTGTCAGTGAAACGCACCAACTTTAAAGGAAGTGCTCACCCCCTCGACGAGTATCTATCAGACACATGACTGCAGAGCCGACTGCGAGAAGTCCGCTTTCGAACGGGGTGAGCGGTATGTGACCAGGATATGATGGTTGCGGTTGAGAACCAGTATGAACAAAGCGTAACTTTGTGTTGGTTGCATAGGATAAAGACCTGGGTGACGCCGCAAGTGTGACGAAGGAGCGAGCCCGGCTGGTATTGATTACACTGTCCCAACTATGAGTTCCACGATAAGAACCAAATACTGGGTTCGTTCGCACATGAGCCCCCATGCGCATTGTCAGAGGAAGGGAAACACAAAATACTGACATGGTTGGTGACAGTGGCCAGTGGACTCGAAAGTTCGACTGTTTCAAGTTCCATCCAAAACTTGAACTGCTCAAAAGGGGACCCTAACCCTAGAACTGGGTTATACATGGCATGACTTACAGTGGACGACGATGGCCAAAGCACAGCGTCCCACCAACCGTCCACATCCACCAAAGCGTCCAACGTCCACATCCAGCACATATAAAACACTACAGATTCGTCTTCATGGAGTACTTCAATTGCCTCCTTCTGTTATTTGCCTTGGTTTCTCTGTGCCGCCTGCTTCCCGTACTGTTGTCACTTTATCATGTCGAGCACAAGTTCAGCTACTGTCGCGAGTCATTCACAGGACACGTGTTTAACGGACGTCGATACATTCGATGACTCCAAGGTAGACATTCGTCGATATGCCACCCTCCTCCCCGCTCAAATTGCAGAGGGGCTCTCATTAGTGTACTTCGATGAGGAAGATGACGATGACAGTTACACTGATTCTGAATCCACATGGGAGTTTTCTCCTGAACCTGTGGCATGTGCTGTAGACTACTCCAAGCCAAGTGATGCCACCACATATCAGGCTCACCACCTTGTCAAGAAATATCAAGAGTGTCCCAAGGGAGCCACCGAGGCCCAGAAGGTCATTCAAGACTACCTACAGCGGCATGCCAAAAGTGCGACCCAAGAGACCGCAGAGGCCCGCTGCCCCAATACCGCGAAGGAACTTCCGATCATTCCCTACAACAGGGATTCGACATACACCCTCGCCATCACTGACGATGGACGGTCCATGATCGATCTTGAGAAACGCCCCGAGCCAGCGATTCGTATGTTTCACCATGACAGAGAAGGCGTAGCGCAGGCGGTAGGCACTACTATCCTCATCCCACGTTACTTCATCTCATGTCCGCATAGCAGCTTCAAGGAATTGAAATGATCCAGGCTGGACGCTGCACTCCTGGAGGCGGGATCCGTTGTCAACGTCCTGGATGCACTGATGTCCTTCGCGATCTCGAAGCACTCAAATGTCACCTGCACATTCATAACATCGGCGATATGTCCGATGCCACAAGCACTTCTTCTACACATACCCAAAAGGCAAAGGAACCTGCACAATCTTCCATAGAGTCTCCACCAACCAAGAAGACCTCGAGGAAGGTTCATAATCGGTCAAAATCGTTCGCGGACTTGGACGCCACCTCGGGCCACTCGTGGGGCACCCACTCAACCAGAAAGAACCATGCGAGGAGCCCTTATTCACCCCCTCGCAGTCGCAAGCCCAGTGACACTCATGTTAACTCGGGTGTATCGCGCGCCCGAACCAAGCTCCCTGATACATTGAATCCCCAACCCCGTGGGCGACGCAGCAACAGAGGTACCGTTCGCGGCGGACTCAGTGAGATCGGACATAACGACAGCATCGCCATGGTGCTTTCTCGTCCTACTTCGCCTGTACAAGGCACCAAGGAGGCCCTGGGTTTTGAGATGAACCTACCTCTTAATTTTGTGAACAAAAGCAGAGTACTATCCGCTCCTGCGAGTCCGACTCGGGGAGAGAAGGAAGTATCTCGTGCAAAGAGCCCTAACAGAGCGTTCAGCCCGGTCAGAGCCCTCAGTCCCATCCGAGGCATGTCAAACACTTGCGTTCTTTCTGATCTGCCAGTTGATATTTTAATGTCTCGCAGATCGCCTCCGACGGGTGCTTTCGTTCGGATGTTTGAATGAGTCCAAATGTAATTAATAGCCCATGTAAAACATACCTACCCCTTCAAACTGTCTGTACTATACTTGTCTATAATCGTGTTACAGGTGGTTGCCGCTGCGCGGCTCCCAGACATTGACCCAACTCGTTCCTTTTTCTTCCTGATGTCCTTCCGCATAACTTAATGTAGTACACAATCATGAGGCCATCAGCATGATGCTGTTATCAATCATTACACCTTCATGTACCGGGCAAATCAGAAAATAAACACATGATGCCGCGAAGCTCTTAGACAATTCAGTGCTTTGAGACTTCACAGCCCGCAAGTATCAAGACGACCACGGAAGTGCCGCCGTCAGAGCGAGCCCATGGTTTGAGCTAGGTGTCGGGTCCGTCATTCAGATTCTCCGGGAGCGAGTGGGAATGGCGTAGAAGCTGTCGAGGACGCCTTGGAGAGAGACGTTATATATATGTGAGAGAGCAGTTCTGAATGGCTTATTGCCCGGCGGCCTGTATTCCCCTGCCGCAGTGTATGAGAGACGCAGCGACGTCAAACCAGTGGTCAAGCTTTTCAGGCGTCAGGCGGAGCTCGGCGATACGTTCAGGAGGTGCCATTTTCCACACGACATGAAGCTTCTCCTTTCTCGTGAGCGGTCTCAGGACAGGTCCCAAATCATCAACCTCCTGCTTCGACAAAATACCGATGTAGTGCGACAAGTGCAGCACGTTTTCACTGATGTCTTGCATGTGAGTGAGATGAGAAGGAACGTTGACGAGACCGACTTCGTCGCCCATGGCCTCCACCCGCTTCGCCATTTCAAAGGCACACTACCACACCACTGTAATTGAAGCTGGCGATGGCGAATAGTCCCGAGGCTGGGTCTTCTTTGACAGCTACTTAACGAAATGAAAATTGGGGAAAGGTAAGTAGAAACGAAGCAAGAACTGTGAGAGAGTAGTTCATCACGAGTGGAGAATCCGTCAGAGTGGCACTCAAATTGACCCTGAGCGCATCAACGTGTAAGCGAACCAATGGGATATTTGGTAGACGCAGACAAAGAGAGACAGCGGTAGATAACGAATACGGACTCGCAAACGACGAAATATAATCTTACAGTACGAATTAACCAAACGGGAAGATATTTCAAAAACCTAGGTTGCCTTTCCGGCAAGCACCGCACAAGTTCTCGAACAGTAAGGATGCTTGCCATACTTTGGTTTGTTGCGACAATGCTAAAGAATGTCTGTCAGCGTGATGGACCGTCGGCCAGAAAGACGAACTAACATTGCACATTGTCGCTGCTTGTGTAGCGCATGTCCTGCCGCAGTACGCATGGTGTTGGTATTTCGGTTTTTGGTGGCAAAACTGCAAAAAGTTAGAGAAGCGTAAAGTCAGGGATAGTATCAACGGACCTCGCATAGCTCGGCGTCATGAGGAGTGGACGCTGACTGCGGGCTGATTGCCATGCCTGAGGGAACTATGGAGTAACGCTGTGGTACTTGGACTGGAGCTTGAGGTGTTGTTGCTGACCGTGGACTGTTTGCCATGCCTGTGGAAACAACGGAGTACCGTTGCGATGCTCGGACTGGTGGTTGGGGCGTTGGGGCCACAACCAGTGACGTCAAGTCTTGCAACGAAAATCGAGATGTGTCCCGCCTGACCACGGGGATTCTGTTTGGTTCGTGATCGTGTCCTTCACGTGGGCGGGTATTTAGAAATTCTGGTAGTTTGTGGATCGATACTTACGAAGCTCATCCCGCACTCTCTCAAGTGCTTTCCCCAGCTCGTTGCGCCCAGAGCCATCAGCACCTACCCCCCAAAAGTAGTCCTTTGGAGAGTCCTATCCACTCGATTAGAAGAAATATAAAAGATCACCGAACATTGTACCTCGACTAGCTCAGCTTCCCCTGTGCCAAGAAGTAGGGCTTTGAGATCAGGATGCTGAGTGAACTTGAGCCGAAGTGTTACTTCCATCTGTGTGAGAATGGGCTCAGATACTGACAGAGTAAACTTGCAGACAAGATCTACCTTCTCAACGTTTACTTGTCTCCAATCGGACCGAACCCATTTCTGGTGACGATGAGCTTCGTCGAACACAGCACTTGGCCTGTCTCCGCATTTGCGAATGTGCTCTGCGATAGCTGGCTGGTCGTCCAAAAACTGTTCCACCGCATCCAAGAGTCAGAAAGTCATCAGGAAATTAATGTCTTCACCAACTTTGTGGGCTTGGAAGAGGTGTTCGCTGGTTGGATATCTTTTCCCACCGTAGACCACGTCGTGGGGCGAGAAATTCGTGAATTCATAGAAAGGTTCGTGTTTGTCGTAAAATAAAATGCGTTCCCTTCTTTGAAAAGGTGCCACTGATGACCCCATAGGTTCCGGCGGAGCGGTGAGCGGAGGATAGTAAGCTTCTGGTTCTCCGCCGGCATCCTGCGTACCAGGTGAAGGCGGTTTCAAGCTTGGTACATGCCTGAAGCAGCTTCAATATCACGATAGTGTGAAAATTCGAGATACTAACTTCGAAGGCGCTGAGTAGTATTGAGTAGAGGGTCGCGTCCGACGCGCCGCAGAGGTCGAATGTGGCGCATTTGAAGGAGAGTTGATACCGAATATGCTAGCTAATTTCATGACCACGCGGTTGTCGAGCATCCCAAGCAGGACAACAGCAATAGCAACAGTGACAGCGAAGAGTGCGTAAAGTATTTTGGCAAATTTCAATGGGCAATCGAGTGAAAAGTCCAGTTAATAACAAGCTTAAGAAACCAAAACAGCTTTCCTGGTCCGAACTTGAAGGTTCTTATATACCTGACTGTCACAAGGCTATACAATCGGAACAGATTCCGCAGTGATGAGTATTTCAGTTGGAGCCTAGCCTGTAGTTATTGGATTCTGCCGTGACTCGTCTGCGTCAAATAAGCCGGCTGACGCAAGGCGCTCTGGTGAAAAGCATGGAGGGGGCATGGAAAGCAGTGAGCTTACTAAGCAACTTCATCTTACTTACCCTCCTTTTTTGGGGGGGAACCTTCACACTGATCTCCTCATGTTCTTGTCATGGCTGCAGCGCATTTGCAGCATGGATATACCCTACCTTTTGAGATTGGGCAGTGACTGTTGATCCGCTTTTGTTACGTTTGCTTTCAACGGTTACAATCATTACTGCCCTTCGCATTGATTGCATCCATGAGGCTCGTCACGGACCACGGTGCAGTTGGACGAGTTCATTATTGGAATACATCGGTTATGACTAATGCGGATAGCGTGCGGGGGGTGCACCTCAGGCGCGCTCAGATACTAGGACCATATTTTATGGACCTACAGGATTCGATTTGTACAACATCTATCTGAATTGCCATCTATGTCAACTTCGTCCTTTGAATCCTTAAACTTAGACGAGTTCTCTTTCGAGAACCCTATAAACCGCTCCGCAGGCCGGCGCAACCGCTTGGTTTATCTGAGCCATGATAGCGCTCACTTCGCCGAAGGTAGCCCGGATCTTACTTGTCGGTTTACTCTAGCTAATCCTGCTATTTTAGTTGAAGACCTCTTTAACAAGGGATGGCGACATGGCAGGAAATCGAGGCCACAAATACAAGGGATTTTTAAGATTCTTTGGCCCGACAGCAATCTAGAGCCATATTTACAGTACAGGTGCCGATAAACGCTCAAAGTTGAAGTGATATGCGCTGACAGTTGCTGCGTCATAGGAAGCAGGTACAGGCCCGCGTAAGGGCTCGGAACAAGGCCGGGAACGAGAATTTACTCTTCCACGGTACAAACAGGGCATGTCTCTTGGGAGAATCCTCAAGAAACGTTCTCTTATGTGGCCTTAAAGAATGCTATCTTTGTTCTATCTTGCGCGCATCTTTTGATGTGAAGAAATGCGGTAAGGTTTTCTCGATCGTCTTCCTATCTATGCATCTCACCCTACCTAGGTACGAAGAACGCTTTCAAGAGGTGAGAAAAGGCATTCGGAATCCCACAGGTCATTTTGACAACTAGTATTGTAGGTTTGGGCATGGTATATATACCACCGCTTGCTCGTCAAGTCCGTTTGTCTTCCTTTTTACATAGACTCGCCCGCTAAATCGCAACACAGAAGCCGACGATTATTCTTGCAACTTGTCACAAGATGCATGCCTTCGCACCATGCTGGTCAGTCGCGTTGTCGTTGGGAGACCGTACAAACGGTACAGGAATGCACCTTACCTCGTGAAACCTCCCGATGGCTTCGATTCTGTGAGGTTCCTCTTTTGTTATCTCCTACTTGCTCACATCCGTATAGGTTACTGGTGAAATTGGCTGGGACCTGAACCACGAGGGCGAGTTTACGTTTGTTATCCGCTTGTGTACCTCCACTTACCTATTCAAGCCAGAAACTGTATGCTACACTAATGACGCTGTGCGTCCTGCGTATCTCATCGTATATGGCCATAAGCCCAAAGATTCGCATAAACCAAGCTTTAAAACACTGATGTCAACGATATTCAAGACTCCGTTAGTTTCATGAACGAACATATCATGCAGGCATGGGGATGTTTGAGGAACATTACTTATATATTGAATTATTCGACGCAGCATGTACGCTTGTAACACTAGTACTGCTACATATATAGCATAGGGCGCATATCACGGGATAAGCAAAAGAACATATTTAAATAGTCAAAAATTCCATATCCCATGTTCGGAGAGTATCTCCATTGATGTGGCTGATGCACCTCGCTACCATGACTCGGACCCCTCTGATGTGTCTTCATCCTCAGGCTTACGATTCGCGAGTGGTGAGGTGAAGGAGTGCTCAATATGTGAATTTAGCAGGTGTAAAACTACCTGAGTACGAGCGACTACTCTCCGGAAGATCTTCAAGCCCATACCACACAGGGACACAATTACAATGCCTCGACGTCCGTGCAGCTTTTCTAGTCTAGACTCTGGATCCGACAGCCTGCAGCCATCGATGTTTGCCGCTGCTGCACTTATGATATAACTTATATACTGTAAGAAGACTCGCGAGCTGTGCATGGGCACCCAGCAGGCCGTGCAGACAGTTGATACGCCTGTCATATTATCTGGCCTCGCATCATCCTGCTCGCTCGGATCACGAGATCTCCGTGCCAATATTGTGCGGTGTCGTGTTATTGATCTCAAGGTTGCACAGATCCACGGAGTCTCTTTTCCCTCGCGGAGAACACGCGCCAAACGCATTTCATTGAAGAGCGATTGACCCCTCTCCACGATGAACTGTGTAGCTATAAAGTGCTCCTCGCCTCGAACACCACTAATCACAACTCATCCGCAGACTCGAAGCTCCTGGAGAGCCTAGGATACTGAGTATCTAGTCCTGATCGTATTATCTGACTCGAGACAAACCCACCAGCAAGATGAATGCCACGGTCCCACCCATGCATGCGGCACTTTCTGTCCTCGGTACAATGGCTGGCCAGTATATCGCCGCTCAGACCCAAGCACAAGCTAAACAGCCTACGCCCGCTAATACTACCCAGCAGTTCACCGGGACTGCAACTCAAGCAACGTGTGACGTATGTGAACTGGATGAGGTCTTTACCTATCAAAGCTAACGCCATGGCAGATCTGTAAAGTCCGTCCGAGGTACTTCGACGGAAAGAAGACGCACTCATACTGCGGGAAAACTTGCGCAACTGCGGCGCAAAACAGGAATATTCCCAACAGCAAACCTAAGCGAAACAAGACCAGCAAAGCTACTCGCGGATTGTGCGACGTACGGTGATTGGTACTCACAAAGATTAGGTCGACTGACATGTATCACCTCAGCATTGTCGTAAGCAACCCAAGTACAACGATGGCACGACGACCCATTCGTACTGTAGCAAAACTTGCGCACAGAAAGCGAAAGCTGCAGGAACGCCTACTGCACAGCCTATACAACCAGCCAAGTCCGTTCAATCGTCCTTCCGTCGGGTGTTGACAGTACTTACCGCTTATCGATCCAGTCCTGCGCCAAATGGCTGCTTGTTGTGCGGAAAGGCTGTGAAGATCAAGGGTCACTTCTGCAGTCAGGCGTGCACGTCAAGGGCTGAGAAGAGTGCCCCAGGGCTCATAGAAGTTCCTCAAGGACACGACACATTCAAAAGCGGTAAGTAGCACTCGCAAAGTTAGTGCAAGCGGTTGATGAATGTTTATGTGCCATAGTCGTTGACCAATTCAAGACGTCGTGGAGACATCAGACTCCATGTCCGACAGTTCGGAGGGTGCATAAAGTAATTTCATCTCCAGCCTCCATTGCTAAATATGACGCATATCGGTCAGTCTCCGCAAATGTAGATGTTGTCGCCTTGACTGACAAGGAGCAGAACTGCTGTGGAGGGTCGCGGAAACTTTGTCGCAGCTGGGCGCTCGGCAGGAAACGAGAACCGTCGCTGGCACGGTACGACCAGAGAATGCAACCTGGGCGATAATAGCAACTGCACGCTGTGCTCGTCTCAGACATGTTCCTTGTGCTGCATCCTCAGGACGTCCTACAACCTGAATCTCTTTGGCAAGAAGACTGGCTGGGGCCGGTATGTTGCCCTTGACAAAGTCGTTCCTGGTATCTTGACACGTATATGTCAGGTTCGGTCATGGAATCTACACTTCGTCGACGTCTTCGAAATCGAACGACTACTCCACGAACGTTAACCCGTCGAAGTTGAAGGCGATATTACTGAACAAAGTGGTCGTTGGCAAAGGTTACAAGATGACGCAAGACAATACATCGTTAACCGCACCTCCGACTGGCTATGACTCTGTATGTGCCCTGTCTCTGGCCTTTCGTGCTTGCTCAACTGTTGTAGGTCCTCGCGGAGGTGGTGAATGGAGGGTCGCTGAATTACGATGAGCTCGTGTGCTACACGAATGACGCCATCCGCCCATCTTATTTGGTCATGTACGATGCATGAGAGGAAGAGCACCCTAGTCCACTCTGCGGACAAGTACCATATACCCTGTGTAATTTACTTATCTAATTCTTTGTCTATACAACCTCATGTATTCGACAGGAACGCGTAGGTTTGCGCTGGAACATGTTAGTTGTTATACATTAATCTCTTTGCATGTTATCGTCAAGACTCAACAGGCTAATCACTCCATATGCCTGTGGTGCATGAAGGGCATCATGACATAATGTCGACTACCAACAAACAAGAGTTGTAAAAAGTATATCATGGTATGAGCGGGGATGCAAGAATGCAAGGGCGGTCGTCTAACGCACTAAGACCTGATGTGCAAAACCGTACTATAGCTGTAGTCTGTGTATGAGTGAGGGAGTGTCCGTGGTGGATATAAAATTAGGCCGTCTGTAACAGGAACAATTCGTTAGCATTGGATCTCACAGTTATTCTTGAGGAAAAATGACGTACCGCTTGCTTCAAGAAAGTAATGAGGTCATTCCTGTCCTTCTCCTTCTTGAGACCAACAAAGTTCATACTGGTTCCTGGGATGTACTGTGAAAACGCATCAGTCGGTGATGATATAGAGCAGTTATCCATATCTGCGACAAACCTTTTTGGGGTTCTCAAGGTAATCAAAAAGTGTGTCCTCTCCCCATGTAACGCCCTTCTTCACGTTGGCTGCCGTATACGAGAAACCATCAACCGAACCAGTCTTGCGACCGAAAAGACTGGGAGACGATCAGTAAGAGTCAAGGACCGTAACTGATGTTCTTACCCATGCAAGTTGGGGCCGACCTTGTTGGGCTCGCCCGCACCGGCGGTATGGCACAAAGCACAACTCCTCTTGAAGATAGCAGCACCTTTACCGGCGTCACCTAAAACAACATCAGCCTCTGCTACCCCGCCCAGCGGTGACAATTGAGCGAACCTGAAGCGTAGGGCATTGCGGGAGTCTATGAAGTTGAGAGGAGAAAAAAGTAAATACACAAGTGGAGCCTCGAAGGCAAGTGGAGACGATGGTGGACCGGTGGATACTTTTGTTTCTCGAAACTTTTTCGCTTCAAAAATGATTTGAATCCGATCGTGCCGAAAGAGTTGCCGGTTTTCCCCGTTGCTACGTCGGCCAATCGACATCGTGCTATTTCGAAAACGGGACGGAAGCAAACTCGGGTCAACCACTGCAGTAGAAGTAGAACTGAGTAGATTTGAATGAATCACAACATGAGTAGTAGTAGGTGTCTACAAACTGTCACCTATGTACCGGAGCCCACATAATACAGCAGTCATTGACTATGATACGAAACAGCCTCTATGTCCCAACTTATGGGGGTAATGCGGAAGTCGCCCAGGAACGTTCAACGCGGCGATCAGTAACTCGTTGGCTCATGTGCACAAAGTCACTCGCCAGAACTATGTGGCAGATGCAACTCGGATGACCATCGGATAGCGAATACTGCGAGCTGATTGCCAGACAAGCCAGGTAATCACAAGCATTCCAAAGGTCAAGGTGAGGCTGTGCAACGTGGTCTGGGTTAGTACTAGTCCAATATGATCTCGACATACGCACATCTGAACAACCGCAAAAGCTAAATTTGTACATTAGTTTATGTTCGATCCTTTGATAGTGCTTCCTTACTAAAGAGCGTCTGCAATTGACCGCAATAGACTACGCCATCGCATGAACCACGCAGGAACAAGCGAGGAAGTGACTTGTTGAATAGACCTGCTCCTGCAACCCAGAATACCCATGTCACGAGCACCCAGATCGCCTGCGTGCCTATAGACGCAATTGGACGTTTGGACCACAAGGGATCGAGGAAGAACAAAGTGTATGTGCCTGAGGTCACAGTTGTCCAACAAGCTGAAAACCTGTTTGACTGAATGCTCAGTTACATATATCTTCAAACCGCGAAACAAACACACAAGAGAAAGCGTACACCATGACGGGTAATGGGATCAGGTGCGTTGTTGTTAAAGCGATATTGCAGTAATAACCAAGTGGCATCTGCAACCTATTGCAGTGCAAAGGTCAGGCATGTTTGTGCACGGAGTTGAAGTGTTACTCTCACTTCTGCCAGGCTAATGGCCAGCAAGAATACATACACAACTAGGCAATGCAAAGTAAAGGTACGTCAACAACGAGGCGGCAAAAGATGAAGGCGAAACACCAACGTGGACCATACTGCTGAACTCGCGCACCAGATATCTTATTGATAGATCTTGGGTGCCGCTTCGAGTGCCGATACAGAAGGTATAGTGGACAGAAGTAGATTAAAGCCAACATGGGTGTCACTGCAGCTATGACACTCGAGATAGCACTCGTATATATTCTTGAGCTGCTGACATCAGAAATACTGGAAACCATCGGAGAGCTTTGTAGTGCGAAAGAGCCGCAGGCGAGAGCAGCAAGAATACAGAACGATGAGGCAAAGGGAAGCATTTCGACCAGCTAGACGTATGACATTGAAGTTCAACTAGCCAAGGAATGTTTTTGACATACCGAAAGTGTGCGTTTACGACCGAGTGTAGGTCGCTTTGCAGTCGGTGAAGGAGCTCTAGAAGTCCACCTGAGTGACCACTCTGGCAGAGGAAAGAAGACAGGGAGCGATGTAACCTTGAGTCGACGAGCCCTCATCGTCCGCTGCTTGCAAGGGTGTTGCAGAAGAAGCGTAGACATGCTGGTGATGCATGCTGAAAACGTGGTTCCCGTGATTCAGTAGAGGGATATGTGCATCTTGAGGATACGAATGTGTCATGCAAACGAACGTACGGCGCAGATGAATTGATTTTCGGCGAACCTTTAAGTTATACACTGTCCTGGAGCTTTATCACTTGCAATTAGCTATGCCACCAAGGACCCGTGAGAGCATGATATATGGTTAAGTTGAGAGCTTTAGGTTGCAGTCTTTGAACAACTAGATATAAACTAGATCTGACCTGTATATTCAATATCGTACTGATTCCTCAAGCTGTGGGGTCGTTGGTCCCCCCTAAGTACTTACCAGGATGAACTCCTTTAGCGCCTCGCGGACATTGAATATTGGATACCGAACTACATCTGAAAAAAAGTCAAACTGGTCAAAACAAGTTTTCAACCTTCGGACCTGTATGTAGCCGAGCGCCTAGCGTCGCGGAAGTACCTCTCCACCAATGAGAGCGCACGCTTATAGCTGAAGAAAGTTTCAAATGTAAACTAGGCCGTCTCTCAGATGGGCCTATAAGTATATCCATGTCGCTTCCAAGCCCGCCATCATATTCGCGGCTAATCTGAAATTGTTATACATAAGATTCAGACTTTGGTTGGATACGCCCTCAGGCTCGAACGACGCGACATTATTAGCGAGATGCAGCCCTGGCCCGGGACGACTAATACTTATTACAATATATTTGTTCACATTTAAACGGGCATGGCCGAAACGCAACACTCCTTCGTCCTTTGCCATCATGTCGTCGGCCTGGAAAGACGCATGCACTGGCGCTTTGATCTGCGCCACTCTTATTGCTGCGATCCGTTGTTGGATGGAGAAGAGAAAAATGCTTCCGCTGCCGCCGGGACCTCAACCCTTTCCAATCATTGGCAATATCCGTGGGATTGATATTAGTGCACCATGGCTAACTTACACGGAGTGGGGTAAACAATATGGTGCGTGCAATGACATGGAGACGTTTTGACGCTGAATACTGCTAAATGATCACCAGGAGATATTGTATACTCGCGCTTTTTCGACCAAGAGTTTATCGTCATTAACTCCGAGAAAGTGGCGATTGAGCTCTTGGAAAAGCGGTCACACAACTACTCTGACAGGCCGAACCTTCCAACAACCCCTCTGTATGAACTATATTTAACTAACTAAGCCAGTGTAGTTCCTGATAGTGCTTTCTACCAGTTTCGGGTTCGAATTCAGCACCGTACTTATGGCATACGGAGTCCATTGGCGTCGCCAGAGAAGGATATTCCATCAAACTTTCAGGGAGAAAGCAGCCCTAAGCTATCGTCCAATGCAGCAGCGGAAGGCTCAGCGGCTTATCAGTGGCATTCTTGATACCCCAGAGGAGGTTTTAAACCATCTTCACATGTAAGTCTTCTTCCACCAGTACCATGTATTATTGATGCGGAGATTCTCCCTAGTTATGCATCTTCCGTGATAATGTCAGCTACATATGACCATGAGACGGAGCTGCACGATGACCCATTGGTGGAGGCCGTTGGGAAGACACTGAAGTTGGGTTTGCAGGAACTTAGACCTGAAGTGGCTGTCTTTATGAAGACATTTCGGATTCGTGGGTCTTCTATCGTATTTTCTCTGGCCTTGACTGGATATTGTTATATAGTTCTTCGACTACCAGCATGGGTCCCTGGTATGTCGATCAAGAAGAAGGGTGCGCAGTCACGAGAGTGGATCCGAGGCTGGATGAACGATCCTTTCCAGCGTGTGCTCACAACAATGGTAATCCGTCGAGTTCACGTCTATTTGTACCTAACATATCCCAAAAGGCTGAAGGGACGGCGCAGTCGTCCATGGTTTCGGATGCCCTCAGACGGATTGATGGAAACGACCCTTCCGGGGAGATAACACAAGTTATCAAAGAAACCGCAGCTTCAGCGTTTGGAGGTGAGCACCAATCGAACACAGCGTCCCGGAAGATAGTTGATGACTGTCCGAGTAGCTGCTTCCGAAACGGTATTCAGTTGTCAAGTGATCTATCTTGCACCACTCTGATTTTTGACTTAGACGGCCTCGGTACTGCAAATATTCATCCTTGCCATGGTGCTCTTCCCGGAGGTACAAGTAAAAGCTCATGCACTGATTGATGCCGTCATTGGCGGGTCGAGGTTGCCAACTTTTGAAGATAGATCGTCCCTTCAATACATCGATGCTATCCTCCGGGAAACTCTTCGCTGGCATCCTATCTTACCCCTATGTGCGTTTACAGTCTCTGGTGCTGGTGCTCGTCATTGTCTTACGGAATAGCGTAGCAATGCCGCATGCTTCGGTGAATAGTGATGTCTGCGAGGGATATTATATACCCAAAGGCCTGAAAGTGCATTAATTCTGATGTTCCTTGCTGACCTCGTAAACAGGTGCTACCGTCATGCCAAATGTGTGGTAAGTATGGGCATATCCAAGTGCTAATCCAGAGGCCAACCGTTTTACAGGGCAATGACACAAAATGAAGACAAGTATCCAAATCCTTCGCAGTTCTTGCCCGAGCGCTTCCTGAACGCTGATGGCAGCCTCAATGAGGACACGGTTGACGTAGCCTTTGGTTTTGGGAGAAGGTTTGTCACGATATCATAAGTCACCTTTTCATTCGAACGTCCTTGTGATCCTGCAGGATTTGCGTTGGTCGATATTTCGCGGACGCCTCTTTATGGATAGCAATGTCTGGCCTACTTGCTAGGTTTATGTTTTCGAAACAATCCGATCCAAACGGGAAGGTGGTTGAGTTCGAACCTCGATGGTCCAGTGGTGTCGCAATGTGCGCTCGCTTCCCGTTCCTCTGTTGTCTGTTGTCTCTACTAATAGACCACTTCTTTAGTCACCCACTTCCCTTTCCGTTTACCGTTTCTCCGAGGCTCTCCAAGGTAAATATATAATCGTTGGTCAAGCTATTTATTCGGACAAGTACAATTTTTTATACGAAGTAATTACATGTGGCTTTGGTTTTAACTGCTTCCCGATGTGCGTTTGCTCCTGTTCCTCAGTTCTCTCATCTTTTAAGACCCCGCAAATACTATATGTATGATTGGCCGAGCTACCGTATATATAGCGGAATTGTAGCAGAATGACGATTAAGTATTGAGATAAGTAGAATAATTACTTATGACCTTGTTTTGAACTCCTCCCAGGGTACTTGCCACCCTCGCTGTAATGATGAGTCCTACTTCAGCAAGAATGTATTGTACGAGGGAATCATATTCGAAATATACAAGTCAGATGAGTTTTTGCACGTCGGCGGATTTTTTTAAGTCTCCTTCGCCTCCTATTGTCCAAGTAGGCAACGCCAGCGATCTGGAGGGGAAAAACACACCCATCTCGTTGACTTCAACGACAATTTCTCCTTCAGTGGCTCCTCTTTTCCATTGGACACGACTGAGTTCTGCATGATTGAGCAACCATGCTGGATCCACATGGTAAGTTGCAGCCAAGGAGCGAACGCTTAGCATCGCGCGACAGACGGAGACGACAGTAGTTGCTACTGCTATGCTGGAAATGGACGTGAGCATCCAGGGGTACCATGTCGGATAGTAGAACCTTACTCTCCCACCAGAGCTGAATAGTAAATCTGGTAACGATTTTGAGTGGTAGTGTGTTATGCAGCTATGATCATGAAACTTACGGATACGTCCTGTGGTTCAGTCATAGAAAGACTGACAATTTCGTACAACAGCGTCCCTGTAGTTTTGTTTCAGTGTCTGCTGAATGAGAAGAATCAGGGTATATTCACCCGCTGCAAACGCATACATAATTATCCCTCTAAGCAAATATTAGCTTTCGTGGTAGAAACCGTGACCAATGGGTGGGCCTACTCTTTGACGAGACGGTGGATAATCCCACGTTGCTGCGGGGGGCTGATGCGAAAGCGATACATCGTTAGGAAGAGCATGGTCGTATGGACGACCAAGGCTGGCAGGTACATGACGAATACAAATGAAGGGTACTTCAAAGTATCAGTGGTCGATGGTTCGGAAAGCTCGTATATGGCACCCTCGATGTCATTGAACCTGTCGCCGGCAACTATCACAGTTCCTGCCGAGCAAAAGATGAAAACAGTGACCGCCAGCCACCTAATGAAGCGACGGCTAACAAATAGATGCCACACTCGCAATGTTACGACACCTGCACACACCGGTCAATTCAGTAGATTCGATGAATGTGAAAAAGACAGACATTGGCAGAGTAACATAACTGTGAGTGCAAGAACGTAACACACAGTAAATAACTGGCCCCCTCTGCCTCTATGTGAGCTGTCTGTAGATCATTAGTAATGCATAATAACTCACGCCTGTAAAGTAAGATGTAAGACCCAAACGATGATACACGGAGCTTAACGAGTACTCACGAGCAAATCGATAGCCTTGATTTTAACTATTTGACTGTTAGTTTCCAGTTCGTGACAAGCAGTATCCACGCTGACGGACCACAAAGAGAAAAGCTAAATCAATTCTATCAGCTACGGATTGCTAGGATCAAGGTGTCAAAAACGCACGACAGTTGTGCCAGAGTCAAGTATCGGATCTGTTGAATTGACGATTAACCACTGGCCACAAAACTACAAGCCACAGGCGACATTACACTGAGATATAGAATTCTTGAAGCTGACCATGGCCCAGACCAGAAGAACATTACCTGGATAAACGATTGTGGTGAATCAGTGTTAGGTTGTTACCAACTTGAACGACGGACCTCTTGATCGAACGTGATAGCATGATCATACACCGCAAGGGTGAATGATACTAGAACCAATTCTGTACAAGTAATGTTCGCCTGTGCGGACATGACAAATTATGGGTGTCTAGAGCTCAAAGCACCGTTTGGTGGGTCGCATTGAGGAAAGTGGGCTGGTGATATATACCATATATCCATCGTGACCAACAGGAAGCGAAGCCAATGGCACTGCATCTCATGTGGCAAGCATCTCATACATGTTCAAGGCCTGCTCTAAAAGGGGAAATTAAAGAGAGCGTGAAACTCACATCACAGTATACGTTGTTGAGGCGTGTCCACATTTTTTGCAACTCCCATCATCAGCTGAAACAAAGCACACGAAAATGAGCTCCTGAAACATTGATGGCAGTTGTCTGTCAGACGAAGATAGGGGTACATGCTTGCCATCGAAAGGTATCTCTTTCATCGCGACCTCCTGCCGTTTACTAATCAGTATAAGACGGGCAAAATATCATACTCCGGCTTTTTACTACGGAAGGCATAGACCTAAGCGTGAAGACGCACAAAGGTTCTCGAATTGACTTTTGAAGAATTTGAATTGAGGCAGGGAGATTTGTTGGGGCTCTTAGGCATCACTGAGGGTGGTCGCCAGACAAGCGTTCTCACAACACACGTCGTGTTTCATGTGATGATGGGTCCAGGTGGAGGAAGGTCATATGCACTTCTGACGATGCCTTGGAGTTTTAATTCGTGTTGGAGTGGTAGATGAGAGCGATGTTGCCATCGGATTCTGGTAAAAGATGAACTGTCGTTAGTCTCCGTGGTTGAAAAGAAGGAACGACTAGTAGCCATGCATACTTATTCTGGTGAAGATTTTAGTGTACTTATACATAACGAGAAAAAACATCTTACTAGATATTGTTGTCGGCTCCATACTACTTGTACTCATATGTAGAGTCATAACTGTAGCTTGCTTTTATTAAAATTGTATATGATTTGCCTAGAGAGACTAATGCAGAGGGTGCACACTGCAAATGGACCGCCGACGTCAGGTTGACTGTGCACAGCCACTGAACGAGGCCTTAGGCGCCTGCCGGCGGGCCACACACGCACGCTCATTATGACCACCGACTACAGGGTCTCCTCATGAATAGCCTAGTGTATATCTTGCGTGCTTGCTCAGCATACGTTCTTAAAAGTAAGTTAATTTTGAACTACGGTGTCCAACGGATGTAAGTCCGCTTCCGTTCCTCTGTTCTACATAATAAGACACTTCTTTAGCCAACCATTTCCCTTTCCGTGCACCACTCCACTAAGATCGCTCAGTAAATATCTGACCATTAGCTAAGCTCTGATATTTGGAGAAAAAGTATGTTTTTTTACATAGGATACATCCGACTTCGACCTCAAATCTTGCCCAGGTACTCTGTTTTCAAAGCAGGTAGCTCCGGCGGTCCTGAGGGGAGAACCACGTCCATCTCGTTGACTTCAACGAAGATTTCTCCTTCAGTAGTTCCTCTTCTCCATTGGACACGACTGAGTTCCGCATGGTTGAGCAGCCATGTCGAATCGACGTGGTAAGTTGCAGCCAAGGAGCGGATGCTTATCATCGCGCGACAGACGGAGACGGCAGTAGTTGCTACTGCTATTCTGGGAAATAGAAGTTGTGAGCTAGTGAACAACCAAGAATGATGTAACCTTACTCTCCCCCCAGAGCTGAATAGAAAACCTGGCAACGATTTCGAGTTTAACGGGTTGTGCAACCATGGTCATGACACTTACGCTTATATCCCGTGGTCCAGTCAGAGAAAGACCAATGATTTCGTACAGCAGCGCTCCTATCATTTGCTTTAGTGTCCGCTATACGGGAAGAATCAAGATATACTCACCGGCTGCAAACGCATACACGAACACCCCTCTAACCAACCATTAGCTTTCGTAGTAGAGCTTGTGACCAAAAAGGGCCTACTCTTTTAAGAACCGGTGGATGATTCCGTGTGTCTGTAAGGCTGCTGAGCTGATGCAAAAACGATGTATCGTTAATGAGAGCATGGTCGTATGGACAAGTAAGGCTGGCAGGTAGATGACGGATAAAAATGAAGTGTTCGGCGACGAGGTCGACGGGTCGTATATCCAGAACATGGCATTCCTAACGTCAGTGAACTTGATGGCGGCAGCCATTGCAGTTCCTGCTGCCGAAACGGTGAAAACGGTGACCGCCAGCCATCTGATGAAGCGACTCCGAAGAAATAGATGCCATATCCGCAATGTTACTACGCCTGTACACATCGGGTCATTCAGCGGAATCCATGAACGCGCAAATGACAGACATTGGCAAAGTTCCAAGATGACGATTACAAAGGTGAAATCCACAATAAAAAGCCGGTGCAATACACTATCTCAAAGTGTAAGCTTGTCTGTTGGGGCCTTGACATGGGTAACTCACTCCTGTGAAAATTGTAATTCAGACCCTAAACAACGTTACGCGGAGCTTAGCAACTACCCACGGTAGAATTGGAAGGTATGGCGCTTCCTATTTATCTATTAGTTGGAGCCGTGACGGGTAAGTTCACGCTGACGAACCATAGAGAACCAAACTAATCTTGTCAACTAGTGCGACGTTATAAGATGGCATTAAACACGTACATCACTTCTATCAGAGCCAAGTATCGGATCTATCAAACCAACGAATGAGTACTGACGACGACAACACAATTCATCGACGGCATTACACTGAGATACAGTATTCTCGCAGCTGACCATGGCCCAGACCAGAAGAAGGTTACCTAGAACAATGGGTGGTCAGTTGTTGGTCAGCGCGAAATTGCTATCGATTATGTATGCGACGATACCTCCTGAGGGAACGTGATAACATGATCGTATACCACAAGGGTGAATGATGCCATAGACAATTGTTTGGAGGAATAGCTCGCCCACAATGCCTGGACGTCTGGCATGATAAATTGCGGATGCCCTGAGCTCGGGCCTCGAGTACTTGCGTAGAAAGAGCTGTCTGGGGAGTCGCATCAAGGAATGTGGACTAGTGCTACTATATAACGCTGACACTGACAGATATCTATCATGATGTACAGATTTCTACAGAAGGCTAAGTTGATGCCGACATTGACCTGGTAGTCACTTCCTATATAGTACACGTGGGCCTGCAGCTCCAAGGTGAGAATTAATTAATTTATAGGATTCAATCCCGTTCCACATCTTACATGTACAGTGTTCTAGATCGTTGTGTCCACATGATGACTACCATCATCGGCTGATACACAGCCATTCAAAAAATATCTCCTCAGATTCGTCGATAACACATGTCCGTTAGTAGATTTGAAGATAGGAGTGCGTGAACAACTCTCCTTGCTCTCTTTCACAACAACTTCGCACAAAAGAACGACCTCTGTCCTCTACTATCATGCATTAGGTGTGGGAATTACTCGGGTTAGCACACAGGTTCAGTAACTATTAAGGTATCGAAGGCTCATGCGGCAGTGTAGGATGCTAAAAACGTATGACCGAAACGAGTTCATCGCCGATCTACAACTGAATCAATCACATCCGCAGTCAAAACACAGCTACGAGTCTTACCTATGATACATCGATGATCATTGGCTCTTCGTGGGAGCGCCTAGATCCTCAAAACGATCACTGTCACTCGCAGATTGCACCGCATCCAGAATATCCATGCCACTAAGATTCATCATGGGGAGTTCTGCCTCGTTGTAACCGTCTAGCTCGACGAAAATCTCGCCATCATGATCTCCCTTGGTCCAATGGACACGACTGAGTTCTGCGTGATTGAGGAGCCATGCCGGATCTACGTGAAGCGTCGCAGATATAGATCGAATGCTGAGTAATGCGTGGCAGACGGAGACGAGGGTCGCGCCAACGACGAATCTGATAGAATCATTGGTTTTATGATTTCATACATGAGTGAGCTATGAGAGCGACCTACCCCCCTTGTACACCTGTGTAGTAAATCTAAAAATATAAGCTGCCAAGCCGAACAGGAAACGGGTTGGCACTACTCACATCCAGCTGCGAAACATTAGTTAATGAAATGGAGATAATTGTATACAGAATCGATCCTGAGCGATAGCATGACAGATATGAAAGTCGATGTCGAACTTGACTGCTTACCCGTCGCGCATGCATACATTATTAAGCCCCTGAGATATAGTGAGTACGTGATCGAGTAGCTGCACAGTCAAGGGCGTACTCTTTCAGGAACCCGCCCTAAAAGTGAAGAGCGTCTCTGAAATCGGTCGCTCGTCATATACCTATATACCTTGAGGCCAAAAAGGACGCTATGATTTACAAAGGCAGGCGCGTAGACAACGGCGAATATAGAGGGGTTTTTGATCAAACTCGGATGCTGCATTTCTTGATAGATACGGTTGAAGAGAAAGCCAATTAACGTCCAAGTCGAACATATGCACACGAAGTACAGCAACGCAGCAAATCTTCGTATTAGCTTGTTCCTCGAGAAGAGGTACCAAACACGGAGAGCGATGACAGCTTTAGGGGTTATTGATAGATGCATCAAAGGAATTTCAAGCTGCGCACCTTGACACAGCGCAGCGCCCAGAGTGATCAACACGATATCCGCGATAAGCAATGCCTTGAAGCTTAGTCATAAATCAGCGTGAAGCCTCGATTGACAATAAAAACTGGGAGACTCACACCTGCAAAGTGGTCTGAGCAACTGTTTACACCCCCAAAAAAATCACTTACAGTAGGATTGGAGACGCGAAATTGCTCTGAGATGACATGAAGTCAGAGAGTGCCTGCACCACAAAGGCCTTCCTTACGGTAGACTGCAACACTGAGAGACGATGAGAATGATCAAATGGAATAGTTAAAAGCACTCACAATGCTTGCATTAATCCTAGATATCGTATCTGAAAATCAACAATTAGGGAGAGGTTGCACTGTAGATTGGGACATAGATCACGCTAAGATAGAGAAACCTAGATGCATCCCATGGACCAGTCCAAAACAGATTCACCTACATTTATCGTTAATCAATAACTTCGCGATCCTGTTAGGAACACGACACTAGCACTGACCTCCTGATCAAACGTTATTACATGGTCGTAAACAATTAGAGCTGCCGAGGCGACGGCGACGTCTGTAGAGTGAATTATCAATGATGCAACCGTGGTACTCTCGTAGTGGGCCATGGTCGACATAGCTGAAGAAGGGTGGAGAAGAATCGCGGGGATCCTCTTATGTAGGTTGGGGTTGCTGATGCACACGAGGCGGTGCCACCTCATGATTGCAATGATTACATTGCAACAGAAGTTAATGATCTTGATACATAACATGAGTCTTTGCCTGTCTTTACCCGCACATGATAACATGAAATCAAAGTAAGAATGGCACCCATATGTGTTGGCCGTCTCAAGTCTGATGTATTTTGAGTCCTGACGAGGTCGTTGATCGTCGTCTCCAGTTCTGAGAACCTCAGAACAAGTCAGAATAAAATTCCACGCTTGTCACAAACTTCATTGCAATAGTGAGTTGTTGCTATAAGCAATTTATGTATCAAGTATTTTTGCTTAACGTGCCTCAAAACGTGCTCACTGGCTAATTGCCCGAGGGCAGCTTGATCGCTTAGGAAAAACTATGATCGTGTGGAGTACTCCGGTGGTGCCATAGTAGTTGAACTTCAAGAACAGAAAGTCCCACGTGTCCCATTGACAAGAGTGTCGACGTTCAGTCGAACCCCGGGTTTCTCACCACTCAATCGATTCAAAACTTACCTTCAAAAAAATTTTGAAGTCGCCTCTTCATTAAATCATGTCCAAAACGCCCACAGGAACGGCGAACTGGTGGGAGTGCGCTTCAGCGGCTTCCAAATTCACACCAAGGACATTTCAATTCACGGTTACAAAAAAATGGCCGGAGTTGCACTTTCGGCTCCCAAATGTTGAGAAGAACAAGACACATACGTGCAAGGCTGAAGTGTGAGCCGCAAAAAAAGCCCTGAGCATCTAAGTAATATCAGCCGGCTGCTTCTTGAATGCAAAATGGGAATCGCGTGAATCGCAACCGAAGTCCATCCGAAGTATCAGCAAAGGACTCTCCATGATTGACAATTTTTGCATGGCATGAATGCATAAGGGCATGCGAGACAATCGACGTAGATGTAGATAACCATAGCTGTAACAGCTCTTAACATACTCAAGGAGCGAACAAGGTGCCGAGGAAAGCCTCTCCAGCAGAGGAGCCCTTGGCCTTCTTTCCTTTCTTGTCTTTTTGCGCCTTGACACGCTCCTGTTTGACTGTGACGCATAAATATGAAGTATAAGTAATGAATTTGGCAGTAGGAAGGGTAGATAATATACGCACGCAATTCTTGCCTGCGGAGGGTCTTGGCGTAAGGGTTCATACGGAAGAGAACGCCCTTGTTGACGAGGGGGTTCTTCTTCTGCGTCCATGGGCGCTTCTGGACCCTGGGGCCGGCAGGGCGAACAACAGCTTGAATCTCAGAGCTGTTGATGAGACGAGTGACATCGGGGTTGGAAATTTTGGCTGTAGGGAGGCTAGACACACACAATTGTTAGTCAGTTCGTAAGGCGCTGCGTAAGGGACGCACAGGTAGTCCTTCTTGTACAAGGAGGCTTTGTCAAAGGTGCCGAATACCTCGTCGAGCAAGTTGAAGGCACCCTCTGTCCAGATGACGAAGCGGCCAATGTGTCCACCAGGAGCGAGTTGGAGAAGGTTCAACCTTTGGACGTTGACAAGTTCGACACCAGGCAAGTTGCGGAAGGCCTTGACGATACCGTTGTCTTCTTTGAAGACGACAAGAGGGCCACGACGTTGGCGGTAGCGACGGTTGCGCATCTTGCCCTTTCCTGCACGGAGTTTGCGCGAGTTGGAGACCTTGGTGACATCCGTGTATGCGTTCAGGGTCTGGAGAAGAGCAATGGCCTCCTTGGTTTTCTTGAAGGACTCTGCTGCGTTCTCAACGACAAGGGGAACCTCAGCGATCTGCTCAATACGGTGACCGCGAGCGAGAACGAGGGATGGGAGCGCGGAAGCTGCGAGTGCGGAGACGGTAGCGAAGCGGCGCTGATTTTGGTTGACCTTGACGTGCCATTTGCGCCAAGTCTTGGTGGGGGCGAACATGCGACCGCCACGGCACATGTTTCCGAAAGCAGCCTGAGGAGATATTGTCAATGCCAAATCAGAGATGGTATGAGTGTGTTCTACGCACCTGACCGGAGCGGTGGGTACCTCCACCACCGACACGAGGAATACGTGCAACAGCACGACCGGTACCCCAAGACTCAGCGGAAGTCTGGTGACCGGCCTTCTCGCTGACAGCGTAAGCCTGACGCCTGTTCTTAGCCATACTCTCTGAGACGATATGAATTTTCTGATCAAGGTGCAGAATATCTGATACGCACTGTGAACCTGGGCGACTACATCGAGCCTGATGGGAGCGGTGAGGACGGCAGGAAGGGGGAGGGAGGTCGAGGCCTCTACTTGAGATGATTAGGGTGGACAATCAGCGAGCAAAACGATGAGTACAAACCTCCGGAGACGGATTGGACGGTAACGGTGGGTCTTGAGGCCATTGTCGTTGATCTTGACGGTCTTGAGAGTGTGTCCTAGCCTGACGTGTTGATACGAGAAATAAAGTTTGCTAGTTCTAAGCCTCAGAGCAAACACAACCAAATATTATCCCACATAACCACAAACACCGAGTCTCGATCTTCTTCAGACCTTGACTCGCATGTTTCGCAAGAGGTTAGGACTGGTGCAACGACGTGTTCCTGATTCACGCAACTCGAAAACAGGTACACGTTGTTGCAGTAGCTACACAATTGAGCATGGCGTAGAATTTAGTCTACGTATAAGTTGAGCAATGCGCGCCCGTTGTTGGTCTCTTGGATGCATTCTCCATGATATCAAACACGATACGCGCGTTGGCTCAGGGCTTTCTTTCATATCTTACAGTGAGTTACATGTTCGGTTCGAATTAAGACATTCGTGCATTTTCAGCACCTTTGGGCTTCGAACGATCGAGAAACTCGTCATGATTCCTCCTATCGATAATTGGGCACTCAAAATACCCTCTCTTTTCTTGGGTTGCAGGCGCCTCAGTTTCGCGCACTGACTGCGAATCTATAATTGGGTGCCTGCAACATTGCCGCCTCGTCCTCTGCGAGGGTCGCGTTCACTTGCATTCTTTCCGCCGACTTCTTTACACATCTTCGCCTAGTATGCTCACCCACAAGCTCACGTCCAAAGATGTGTCGTGTGCTAAGTCGCAACCAATATCTTCCCCTATTCCGCTCGCAGTCTTCGTAGATGCCGCGACCTCATTCGGAATTGGGTTCCTAGCAGACAAACACTGGTTAGCCTGGCGTCTCCTGCCTGGCTGGGATTCAGAGGGCCGTGAAATTGGTTGGGCCGAAATGGTTGCCATCGACCTTGGTTTGCGTGCCCTTATTCACTCAGGGCTCCGTGACGTTCACATCCACATTCATTCTGACAACCAAGGCGTAGTTGGGGCGCTAAAGGCCGGTAGATCTTGCGGTCTAGCTCAGAATGATATCCTCCAACGTCTTTCCTCATTCGCGCTTGAGCACAATGTTCAGTTTTCGGTGGAATGGGTCAAGTCGGCTGATAATTTGTCTGATTGCGTTTCCAGAGGCATCTTTCCACCCACATTATCTCGCTTTAGCCCTTCTCCTCCTCTCCCTACTTACCTGGAAAAATTTGTATGTCTGGTTTGAATCACGTTCACCTTCTCGCTGCATCCCACGCTCCCGTCTTCATTGGTTTTTTGCATTACATTCTCTGTAGGTCTTGTGACTTATCTGCAACTCATCTGTGTATGATATTCTCCTTTGTAATTTCACTGCTTGTCTGATTTTGAATTCAACCCTGGCTACTTATCACCCACATACAAGAACACCGAGTCTTGTCTGAGCTTGTTCCACGAGGGTCAGAACTGGGGCAACGACGAGTGACGCTCTCCAAAACCAGCTTCACTTCGTTGCGGCAGCTCCACAATTGAGGATGGCGAAGAGTTTAGTCTACGTGTAAGTTGAGCAATATCACACGATCGTTTTTGGATGATACGCGCATGAAGCCCTGAAGCCCGGACAGCTGGAGTAGCTTCTGATTCGAACCAACGTGTGGCGAAGGCCTGTGCAATACTCTTCAGGGCACGTTCGGTTCGAATTAAGGCTCATCTGTGCATCTTCAGCACCTTTAGGCTGATTTCAAACCTGTCTGTTACGACATGCCAGTTCACTACTTCGACATGACTTGCCATTTCGCCACTGTGTCTGGCTGCCGTTAGTGTCTGACCTTTTTCTCCATGCATCTCAGAGAAGACTCGGAGGTGCTTCTTTCTCAGAAAGCTCAGCATTTCAGCATCTCATCCGTCTTGCTTTCGATTCTGCATGAACTGACTCTACTCCGTGTAAATATCGTGGCATCGTCCGTGACTTCGAACACATGCTCGCTGCCCGCCAGTGAAGGCCTTTTGTGCGCGTTTGGAACCTCCCGCGTGGGATATGATCTACAGCTGGAGCGACAAAGCCACGAGGTAGCAGTGATACTAGTCGAAGACGGTAGCTATGCATGTACATCATGTGCGCATAGTAGTCGCGCATAGAGGTTCGGGACACCGGGCTTTGAGAGAACTTCATACTGACAGTGATGCATCATTTTCACATTTCCCATTCCTCAAACCTACGCTTTCCTGTAGTTTCTTTTCTGCCTCTAACCATTCAGCAAGAGCACCACCATTGCCTCCCCAATTCTGCTGGCCTACGATCTGCTCTTTCTTAGCCTGCATCTCTTCATTCCCTTGATATGTCCTATGCGCATCAATTTCGTACATACGTCCCGTACGTTCCGATTCACGTGCTACGAACTGAGTGAATGGGAGGCGAACATCCTGGTATACTTTCAACGCGGTGGGCACGTTATCCAATGTTGTAAGCGGGTGGGCAAGAATGCGGCCAAGCACAAAAGCATCCTTCGTACAAGATGAGATCGCATAGTCTGGCGTGAGATCGCGCCTACCTCCATTGCCTGACCAGCTCCGGCGCCCAAGTAGGGTGTCATGGCATGGCACTACACGATTTCGTCAAAAGATCTTCTATATAATTAGCAAGGAGAAGCGTACCGCATCACCTATCAGGGCAACTCTGCCGTAAGTTGATAAAGGCAATTCGTTTACTACATGAAGGGCCCATCTTGAAAGGTTTTCGCAACACTGAAGACATGATGTCGGTCGAAGGAGGCGTAACTCAAGAACTTACTTTCAACAGGTTCTCGAAAGCGGGGTCGAAGTCCTGGTATAATTCCTGGACCTCTTCTTGGGACACATCTGAAACCCAATGACCCTCGAAAGGTGTGCCAGCTTTCTGTTCATCAGTGACAAATGCCACAATATTGATCAGTGTTCCTTGTAAAATCGGATATGACACGGCATGCTATGAAGTTATAGATTCATCAGCAAGCAGAGATGAGTGATCGCAACAAACTACCTTTCCCTTCCCGCAGAACTATGAAGTAAAAATGTCATTCCCGACGACCATGACCGCTACTCTGAGAACTTACTATGATAAGACCCCCAAAAGCCACGTTGTTTGGATCTATCTGGGAGAGTTTGTTCGCCGAGATGACAGCGCGATAAACCATCGTTCCGGTCCAAGATGGATCTCCGTAGTATCCTATCTTACTTGGGTCCACGACGTCTCGGTCTAACGTCTGGAAGAGCGTCTTCCGCACCGAGGAGTGGACACCATCTGCCCCTATCAACACATCCGTAGTTGCGGTGCTGTCATCAGCGAAGCGAAGTATGAACGATCTTGGTGAATGGTTGCCATATTGAGTGAGGCGTTTATTAAAATGAAGCCTGCATGACGAGGGGAGATGTTGCGTCAGAATGTCGACGAGATGCTGGCGGTGCATAGCGGGTGGCGCGTTTTCCAAGGTCAGACGAAAACCACCCTGTGAGGAATTAGACCTCCTGGATTTATCCCCTGTTGGCACGAATCAAGTTACACGCGGATGACAAGCAAACTCTTGAACAGACCATAGCTGGAGGAAGTGGGTTTGTACGAGACACTGGAGATCTTTTCGTATATACCGAGTTCTTCCATGACCTTTGATGTACGCCGCGAGACTGTAACTCCAGCCCCAGCGGTCGTGATGGCGTCATGCGCTTCATATAAGTCTATCTGGATATCGTGACCTGCGAACTTCCCAATTGTGATAGCGAGGAGAAGCCCTCCTATGCCCGCACCACTGCACAGGGAACTCAGTCCGTGTCACGTTCATGAAGGGTTATCTGACCCACCAGATTGCTACTCGAAATTTGGGAGTGGCTGATGGGAGCGACATTGATTATATGCGATACAATTACAGTGGCTGCATTTTATAGGCCAGCTTGATATGATGCAAGCCTAGATCCTTGGTAACCGGCCAGAACTGCCTTCAGGAACAAGTTATCTTCAACGGTGAGAGTTGAATTCAAAAGCGTTTCTCCGACTCACAGAGGGAAAGGGATCGCAGGCATGATCGCAGAAGTATTCGAATATTTATTCGATCTCGCTAAAGTGTGCCTTCAATCACAAAGTCTTGCATCCTCTAGACTGACATGTCGCTCGCGGAGTTTGATTCGCCTTCGTTGATACGCTCACAGGGCCTACCAAGCGTTTCCATGGTTTCCATGACTGAGACCGCCCAGCTCTGTTCACCTGTTATGACGATCATCGGGTCACAAAATGACCAATTCAAGTTGGCGTGCGGCATATCGACTGTGCCTAAGATGGTTTGAACTTCCAAAGGGGATGTACAGCGCTGGACGTAGTGAGACACAGGCCTTCGGGATGACAGTTCCAGCTTTCCATGTCTGCAAACTGTTTCGAACCTATCGCATAAAAGACCCCGGAACGAATTCACAGTTTGATCTGAATCGACTGCCAGCTACTTAGACCGAATAAAAGGAACAGGCCTTCTTCATTGCAGGTCCCAGGTGGCACTATCCCGAGGCTTCTCGATCGAGCCTCAAGCCAGGCCATGCATTCCTGCAACGGGCGTCAATAAAATGACCGATTCATGAGATCATCCGTTACGTACTCTTCCCTTTGCTTCGCGATCTGCGATTCCAATTCAGCTTTTCTCGATCAGCTTGTCGCCTCGATCCACGATCATCAAAGTGCTTGAATTTGACGGAGTAGAACACCAAACCGAACTCAGCTACGATTGTCATTAATTTACGTCGGGATGAACGTGTAAAAGTTATTATACTTACATAGCCACATGGCATCGATCGCAGTGACCTGTGTCACGTACTTACTCTTCGGATGTCGGTCAACTCGTGGTAAACAACGTACGTGGGGGTATCTTCGTCCTTGTCAGCGAAACTCAGATGAAAAGAATTATTCGTATAGATTCAAGACCACGTGGTGCGCTCGTAGGACGCAGATGCGTCGCCAATACCCTTGGCACAGGCACATTGGTGGAAATAGCCAGCAGCGATAGCTTTTCTGCGACAAGGTCAATGCAACGTAATTTATCCAGCTACGGCATGGCACATGATGACGTCGAAGTTTGTGCATGCAGAAATGATCTCCATTTTTTTTAGAACTTCATGATGTCTTCCAACCTGTTCGTGTGAGGAGGAGGGTTCATGAAGTCGAACTCAAGAAGGCTCTTGACGCCAAGAGACTTCAGGAGCAGAACAGTTTGGCGAGATTGGTGCGCTGGATTTCTGGGATGGTATTTGGGAACATCTCATTGCGATACGCCATCTCTGTAGACAGGCGGTAGCAGACCCTATGGAAGTAAAGCGATAAATATTGTGCGGCTAGAATGAAAGACGTACCCGCTGCCTGTACGGCCGGCACAGCCAGTCCGTTGGTTGGCGTTGGCGTTGGCTGATCGGTGTGATCTGCAAGGCATCCATGTCGACCTTCCAGTTATACACCTTAAGCTTTGAGTAGCCCGCGTCGACCACGTTATAATGTCATCGACCGTCAAGGAAGTCTCAGCAAAGTTAGTGGCTAATATGACCTTCCATTGTCCATCGGGAGTGGCTTCAAACATCTTGGCCTGAAGGTCGGCAGGCGTCTGCGAATAGATTTAGAGCACTTCCAGAGGGGCGGGCTGATCAAGCTGTGCCAGTTGCTCTGCATAAAAGACTTGGTAAACGACGTCGTTCAGAGTTGATGTTTACATATCGTTAATAACCTGGCAAGTAAATTGTCTTCTTGTCCAGTCATAGATACGAGGATACCAGCGGGAGGGAATGAAAGATGGATTTGGAGAACCTGCTTCGCATCGTTGTCGAGTCTCGGCGTAGTCCTCACAAGGTGATTTGGAATGGAACACTTCCACCAGGAATGTACGACTAGGAATAGTGTAACAAGGCGCATTAACTAGAGCTGAAGAACGCCGTCCACCATGCCTGACAATAAAGAAAACAAGATTAGCCAGGTGGAATACGAGAGAGATAACCCGTACATTTGAGCTTGGTTTCCGTTGATGTACAGTCCTCAAAACGGATCGCATAACCAGCGATAGAGTCAAGCTTGTACTGAACTTGAAGGGTCAACACCAGAACAAAGAAGGTCGATCTGAGGACTTGCCTCCATCTCCTCAACGACACGTTTTGCTATAGACATAACGACCACACGACGTGGCTGAGTGTAACCAATGAGACCATATGCGCAGTATCCATCCTCGTAAAGGAACTGTGCCAAGTGGGTGATTTTCTCGGAACCAGCCTCGCCGACAACGATGACAGCTGTATACAGTATATTTGAATCATAGATCATTGCGACTGCATGCTGACCCTAGTTTTCTCGAGACTCTCTCGACACACAAATGCAGGCAAATCAAATCTCTGCTCCTTCAGTGTCCAGCAAAAGCTGACCCCAGCGGATGCTTTCAAGTAGCTAGCTATAGCAAACATAGAATCTCCCGTAGGATCCTCTGTCCAAACTTAAAAATAGATTAGGTAAAGATGGACGCGTTGCGGCAGTTGTGCCACTGCCTGTGTCTTCTCTCTTAGTTGTGCATACCTGGTGATCGCCCGATGGAATAACTCACGAAGTGGCCAATCGATGGGCGCATCTAGTCCGGTGACTCTGGGACGAGCTGTGAACGGAAAATTCTGGGGACGGTCGGCATAGGTAGAGCGGTCAAAATGTAGTTTCGTTGAGCTTCTGAAGCGTTTCCTGCGGTGCGATCGCGCTGCAGAGAGCTTGCACGACGTTTCGCCACCATGCGGAATCCTGGTAAGCGTTACCGAGCAGGATTCGAAAGGACTGCAAATTTCTCACCACCTGAGGACCGTCAATTTTCCAGTCCGAACGTCCCACGCGCACAAAGTGTGCGGTTCTCCGTGAAATTCTGATGGCTGCAGCTTCGGGTCAAGAAATTAACTGTCCCGACTCCGCTTAGGTTTACAGTCCCAGTGCCAGCAGCCACAAATTCGCGGCAACCGTCCTGGCAGCGTGCTCACCTCGCCGGCACTTACCATATATTCTCAGGCATTTTCTCGTGCTCATCCTGACCTCCGAGACACATTTTATTGAGTCTAGATGCTTCATGAATAAATCTTTTCGTGCATCTCAGGACTGTACATCCAGGACTGCAAACCCCACCAAAAGGACCGTCAATTTTTTATACGAAGTCAGTCTTAAGTGCTGGTGGTAGTACTGAAGTCTTGCGTACAAGCCTTTCGAACCGTGTTCTTCGCATTGGTAAACAACATGCAGGCAATTAAAGGGGCGACAAAAACATCGTAAGTGCCCAGTTTATAGGCACTCTCGTCTGCATGTAATAATGCTCCTTCGCTTCAGCTCGCACGTTCACAAGTGACCGTATGTCCCTCCCGGCATTATACCCGCGGGTCGGAAATTCAACACTGTACCCGTACCCCTCAACACCGTACCCCTACCCACTAGTAGGGGTATGGTGTTACCCGTACTAACCCGCGGGTACACATACTACAACTCCAAGAATTAGCACTACGTAGGTCTATCAGTATTTCCTTTTCTTCAGAGACTTCACGATGTTAACAAGGTCCTCCGGCGCTACAAGATCACAGCGTAGCGACGAACCAAAACAGAGGAATGCGCGGGTCGATAATGGAGACAAGCGGTTTCGAGTGAAGTGTAGAAGGTGCCGGCCTTGCGAAAACACTCGTTCGACTGCAACTGAAGTAGCTATGGTGCGCAGCGCATAAGCTGTGATGCCAGCGAGAGTGATGGTGCTTAATTTACCAGGAATGCTAAGGTAATCAAGTGCCATCCGGTGCAGATTTGGATACGTCTTTTGGTGGTGCACCCACCACTGCAGTGGGTCTTTGGTATTCGTTGCCGCAGGTAGTCATCGGGTTCATCTACTGGGCGGTCTCGGTGCCATAGCAGGCAATTTTCAATGTAAGGCCATCAAAAGGGCCCTTACAATTGCCTTTCAATGCCCATTAAAAGATTATCATACCCCATTATATTGGCTTATAACGACATCCACCCAGTGGGCCCTTAAAATATATTGTATGGTCTCGTAAGCCTGGAAACTTTTTTCCGACAATTATCAGACGAATTTTCCTGACACCATCCAAAGGTAGGATGTCCAGGTAGGAGTTATCATCTGAACATCACTCAGCGTCAGTGGCACGAGGGTCTAGACTCTAGAGACAGATGGAACACAGGACATCAGGGAAAACTCCCGATTTTGCCTACGAGGGCTTATGTTTGGTAGACGTATATTATAATCCAGTTGAATCCATCATCTACTACCTCTACCAATTAACTCGTACCAATAGAACCATGAGCAACGGCAGCTGCATCGTCGCGATTTGCACGGTTGATGGACATTGCGGCGGGCCTCGGACGTGCTAGTGCCATGAAGACGGAAAAAACATGAAGTCGCGGGTACTAGTGGCATTGCTGATATATGTGCGCTTCAGAGTGTCCTGGCGCCCATTGAAGGTGCCGGGAAACATGATGGAAGGACTCCATTGGACTCCATTGACGGCCACAATCGCGTGATCACGAACAGTGTCACTGCGAATTTCTGTAGGTTATGTCATCGTAACTTAGTAAGTATCACCGCGTAGAATCAAAAAATGCGAGGATATACCTTGCCTTCCTCAGATGCAATCCAACATGTAGCCTGCTGTCCCGAAGGAGAGACGGCGAAACTGAATTCCTCGAGCTCGTTTCCATCGACCATCACACATGCAGAGAAGTGTCCGAGCCGCATGTGTGGATAGCGCTGCAACAACTTGCAACCGGAGGAAGAAAGCGATGAACGCTCGCGTAGCACTAGATCGACTAGTAAGTTAGTGACTAACCAGACAAGTAGACTAGCACGAACGTCCCTCGTTACTCGTAACCGTACACAATGGACCTGAGGTCATTATTCTATGAAGTCTACAGCAACTTGGAATGGGGGGAATTCTAGAGTAGAAAAAACGCGTACTAATGGTATGTATACTAACAGAGTATTATTATTAGCAACGAGCGTAAGGTCACAAAACGACAGACATGAGTGAACACAAAGAACACTGATGACAGCTGAAACTTGAGCAAGAAGTTTTATACCGGGTATCCACAATGATTGTGAATGAGTTCGAACAGAAAGAATAAGTAGATGCAGTGTGCACCGTCTTGAAAAATATCGAGTTCCTGGGAGTTGGATTGCATGAAGGTGTATTGCGGATGATCTCTGTGTTGCTTACCTCGGAGCGGTGGCGGGAATGCACTAATCCTCGGTCAAATCAAGGACCTTAACAGTGGCGGGTTGCCGTCGCGAAATCCCACTTTCCAACTTAACACGTGATGGCTTCCGGTCCTCAGATGGGGGCAATTGTGCACGTAAACGCTGGAGCTCCATCTGCAAGAAAAGAATGAGTTGGAAGGAAGGATGTCACCTTGAAGGCGAGAATTCACCTCGAGCTGTTGAATTCGGGGCTTCAAGTCCTCTGAGGGCAAAATTGAAGGCTCATTAGGTCCATCGATTATTTCAATTTCATCATCATCATTTGCCTCTTCCTCGATCAAGTTCTTTGATATCGACGGTGCTATGCCCATTGCCTGTAAGATATCTAAAATTGAAAACCAGTGTTAGTGGCAGATATGCGTAGAAAACACTGTGGCCCACCCAAGCGCGTGTATTTGAACACGAAGAGAGTGGTAGGACGGTCATCCAAGTTGAACTTGGATGTGACATGACGTGGCACTTGAAGGGGAACCTCTTTTCCAAAGCTAACAGATAACAATTATTTTTTTAAAAAAAAAGTGGGATGAAATTCTACACACATGACACGATGTGCACATGCCTTCTTGGAGCGTTCATGAACCTTGCCTTCCATACGACGGGTGTGATTGAATTGATGACGTTTCACTACCTTTTCCTTTATGTACCCAGTATTTACCTCCAACACAATTTGACCTATTTCCTTCGAATTTTGATCATCGAGCATTGAGTCATCATCTGAAGTTCAGTGTTAGAACATGAAGGAGACTCTGAATATATATTGCATGCATACTGACCAGTAAGCTCAATGTTTGAGAACATGAAATCTCTGGTGACCGAGTCGTCGATCAGACACGTGCATTCCTTCGCACCAACCCAGCCCGGGGGTACAGCCTCTCCACGACAGTGAAAGCCGTCTACGACGACAACCGATTTGATGCTCCAGGGCTGCCGAGTTATATTCGTCCACCTGACTCCAAATTTCTTATAGATGCATTTGAGTCTTTCCTCCAGTACATACGATGGATGACATACCTTGCCCTCTTCCGATGCGATCCAGCAGGTGATGCGATTCTCTGCTGGTGTGCTAGAGACGATGACATCATACTCCGGACGGTCCTGGCCATCAATAAATACACAAGCAGAAAAATCTCCAAAAATCATGATGCAGCAATATTTCAGTCGGCGAGACTGGCAAGCTTGCACAATGATAAACTCTCGAAAGACTCTTTAAAGTTTAAAACAAGTTCGAAAGCGTTGCTGTAACGGTAATGGGCGAATCACGTGCAGTCCGCGCTGCTTTCCTGCATTCAGTCCAAATTGGATCCAAGCTCCCGCTCATGCGAACACACCTACAGCTGGTACTCCTAGCACCTCCGCACTTCAGAGGGAGGAACTCACCGGAACAACTCACGAACTGACTAGTGGTCCGAATCCACTGACACATCTGAATCCACTACCCTTCAGAATCACCCTTCATTCGGCTTCCACAAACAGCACGCTTATTTATCTATGAGGCCCAGCAGCGTGTTCGTCGATAGCACCTTACAGCATGAAGTTAGAACAACCCCGGTCTGGGTAAGGTCTATCAAGAACTTCTAGAAAAAGCTCGAATGGACATCTTCAACGAACACCGAGCGGCGCCAAACTACATGGCTTCACAGGGACATCTATTAAGCAGACGCTTGCTCACTTAATTGCCTGTGGAAACAAGGAAGACCGAGAAGCGCTTGGAAACTGTGGTGTCCCATTTTCAGTCTTTCTCGCTCTTCTTTCTTTCCAAATTACCAATTCCCTCATGGCTTAGTATTGACACGTCCGAACCCATTACTTCTGTGCCTTTCACCTACTTGAGTATCGCACATCTAGGCATGCGAAACCCTCGACGTCAGAGTGTTGTATATGCCTTGTGAGTGAAGAACTGCATCTTTATCAACTGATCGGGCTCCGTCTGACCTACGTAGCTTCAGCGGCGAACATCCTTTACCCGCTGTTTCACATTCATTCACGCATTTGACTACACATAACGTCCCGTCTTCCCCCCCTGAAGAACGCGTTTAACGCACCGCAGTCCACGCACAACAGGTGACTTGACTTACACCTCACATCAACTTCGTGGTCTATTGATATTGAACCTTGAAGCAAAGCTTTCTCACTCTATCAGAGCAGTGCGCGATTATTGATAGCACGAATTCCTTGACACAACTGGCTCGTGGCGTCGAGATTATTCATCACCTTGTGCTAACTGATTCAGGGCTGCTTCGTGGATGTGGCATCTCGGTGCCTTTGACACTGACGCTGGCTTCACCTACGTTCTATTTACATTTGCCAGAAGCGCGGCTGACACCATGTAACGGTGTCCACACGTTCCATGTCGCCACGTCGCTCTACAATGTATCTAGATCTATGACGTTATCTTTCCCCAAGCCTCTATCTTCCTGAAATATAATGGTAAATCAACCACCTTGGCAAGTCTTGACTGCAACGATGTTGAAGCTCTAGATGGCCTTTGCGAGATACCCTTACCGCGGACTCCCACCTATCAAGACCTATCATGATCGATTGATAAGAACTTCGGACTCCGAGTTTCAAAATCTCACCCATTAGTTTGGCGTTCAAATCACAACCCCTTGTCTGTATTTTATTCCCATTTGTCTGTATCAGCACTAGACTGGCAGGGTATTTTCGATCGCCTTTGATCGAGCATATCAAGGTTGCTATCTGTAAGTATGCATTCTTGATATCTTCAACATGATGCGCGTTGGATCTCCTTCCAAGACCAGGCAGTCATTCTCAAAACCTGCCTACATGGCGCATTCACATTTCAGGTGGCCACATTAGTCCCATGAATCTGAGATATGAAAAACATACCCCGTTTCCACTTACATCTAATAGCCGTCACGGAAGAGGACGTGGGGTCTTTGTCTCTAGTCCTGGTGCGTCATTCCTCCACCTGGTGTCAAATTTCGGGTACGGTCAACTCTTTGAGCCGCTTGAAAGCTGGTGATTCAGGGTGCGGCTAGAGGTTCTAGCGGCAGTCTAGCCTCAGCCGGAGATGTTTCAGCAATATGACTATGTTCGGGAGAGTGGCTTCATCGATGTCCCCGTCAGCCTCATGGAGTTACTTGTGTTGAGGATCTGGCTCGGTCATTCATTCCACTGCGATAGACTTCCAAGATCAGGGTATAATTAATCATCCAAGCAAGATTAGATCTTCAGGAGAACATTTTAAATAAAGGGTGTGGAACACTCTGCATTGTAAGCAAGCAAGCGCGAATAATTTGATAGGTCAAACATCACCCCAGTAACCTCTCCGCCTCCACACTCCCATTTTGTCCCTCCTGACGCCTGAGCCCACGGCAGCTCCGCACGGTATGCTTCACCCCGTCCATAGCTCGACTGATGAGCCAGTTCCTCGCACGCCAGACCGGATGCTCGCGCACATCGACGCGGTCTGGGCGGATGCGGTCCTCGCCGTCGACAACGACAGAAAGTGTTATGATTGTGGTGATAATCGATGCGAGTGCTGTGGAGGCGGATATCATGAACATGATAACCATCTGGAGCCGCGCAGCCTGCTGGACAGAAGAACCACCAAGGATGGCACCTGAAACCATCGATCAGCGCAACCGTTCACCCACGTCATGGCGTGGTTTCTTACCTGTCATCATGCCTGGAATAGCAATAATTCCGATCACGCTATAAGGGCGAACACCGAATGAGAAACAGCTTGTGATGTTTAGATGGTACGAACCTCATTTGGTTGATCGTTGGAGTCAGTGCAAGACGAAGTGCTTCTCGTGCAACAGGTCTACACGCTTCGAACCGTGATGCTCCAAATGCGAGGTACATTTCTACTTTGTCACGATTATCGCTGCAAGGGATTAATATCTACACTTTTAGTGCGTCAGTGGTGCTGGCTTACTAAATCTCCTGTAATACATAGGATACGGAAACAACGATTCCTGATATCGTTCCTCCACATAACATGCCAACAATTGGAACTTGTCGTTTCAAGTCAACACCACAAATCCAACACAAAAAGACGCGCGACGTACTATATTGTTCGGGCTTCCAGAACGGGTCTACAGCCATCGCGAAGCGGATACCGATGATGGAGACAGGTATCGTCGAGCACAGCATGCCAATCAGTACGGAGGAGAACTATGCAGCCGTTCAGAACAGGGTGATATACACCCATCGTAGAGCCTACCATATGAATGTAACGCTTTTTAGATTTGTTCACCACTTCTCTGCGTCAGGAAATAACTCTACAGTAAGAACTACTTCGGACACACCTGCCTCGGTAGTTCCAAGTAAATTCAACAAACCTGAATAGAATAGCTTTAGTAGTCCCTAGCTCCAGTAAAGATACAAAGCATTCACATGCAATACCGCCCACTGCCCATGGATTATTCGTCTCGAATACTTTCTGCAGCACAAGGGCGACTAGCGCTAACTGCACTACGCAGCGCACTGCTGCGGAGAGTAGTGAGGATCCTACTCCGAGTTGTAAGGAGGTGGAAAGGAGGGCATTGAAAAGAATGAAGGAGAAGCCGAGACCAACGTTGGCCCAATCCAGGTGGGTAGAATCTGTAGGTGCCCCGTCCATGATGGTTTCCTAAAACAATTCCAACTCAAGGCTCAGCCTGGGGAGGACCACGCGGTTAATGGTAGCTGAACAACTTGCGACAGCATGTGAAGCATTCGAGTTCAAGCGGGTCGACCAACTGCCAATGACGTTCAGCCGCTTACAGCTCACGCAGCACCACGTGAGAAAACAGAATCAACAAGGGCAACCCATGACAATGATGACATCACAAGTCACAAGGTTTTCATTAAAGATTCAGCAAGCACCCACCTGCATCGTGCACGAAAATAGCAGGATCCAGAAGATACATAAACATTGACTAAATTTCGAACACATCATTTTACTTAGCTCTCTCTAATATATACAGCTGGTCGCTCGTCTCCATCTCCAACACGCTCAACCACTGATGAAGGGGAACCTCCAGAACCGTGGCGATGCCGCCCTGGGGGAGGTTCAACCTCCATCTTGAGAACCCCTGAACGCTGTCTACCGACTTCCATCGTCCGGTTCTGGCGAACTCTGTCGAGGACTCAGGCGATGAGATGAGTGAAAGGCGTCGACGTTGTAAGATCGCGCTGGGAGAGACCTTCTGTCTTGTTGTAGACCCAATCCCCTGTTGCTGGTGTGGGCATGGACGGGATGTAAGGTGGCGAATGACTCTGGAGGAAGAGCGAGGCCCCAGTCTGGGCTGCAAGATTGGATATGTGAACGTGCACTGCAGTTCTGTGGTCAGCTTAACCCAGCAGCTCGTTCACTTGTGCCTCGTACCAGCGTTCTGGTCCGCATATCGATTGTTGAATG